GCTGTTGGCGCAAAGACGCAACAACGGGATGGACCGTCAAAATTGGACAGGATCAGTAGGTGCGGAGCACCTTACTGGTCCAGCAACGTCAAGAGAATTTGTAGGCCTCTTGATGAAGGTTGCTCCCAACACACAATCATTGTGCGTTGCTGCTCTAGGTAATGAGATCTCGCTCATTACCTTGAAACTCGAAGTGACAAATGAGTTGTCCCTTCGAGCTCTAGTCGATTGTGGAGCGTCCAACAATTTTGTGCGACGCCAATCGCTAGAAGATGGTCACTTTAAATTCAGTGAATGTGACACACCTCCTACGAGGATGACGGTACGTCTTGCGACAGGCGCATCCGTAACCGTCATGAAGCGTATAGTGAAGATTCACTATACGCTAGAAGATACCCAATATGACGATGACTTTATCGTATTGGATTTGGATGACAAATTTGATGTCATCCTTGGAATACCGTGGCTCAGAAGGTACGAACCACGGGTAAACTGGCAACATCGTACAGTAACGATGCCTGCCGCTTGTTCATCAGATGGCCATCTGATGAACGTTTTGGAGCGTCCACGAGCGTGTGGATGTACTACGAGTGAGTGCGATGGCCTCACTTGTGGTACGGTCGTTAGTACGACTGCACAAAACCTTAGTGTACCAAACGGTAACACTTCGGAGCAAAGTTCCGGCGGCTGTGAGGAAACACAGGCTGCGCCGAAGGTCCACCACTCGAATAAGTCGGGTGGACTGGGACAAAGATGTATCCCTAGAGGGGAACATCTAGAAGAGAAACAATCGATCGCTCAGGTTAAGCGAAACGATAATCCTAGATCGACTGGAGAGTCTTTCGTAGAGGATCTCGCTGTAATTGCGCAACCACAGCTAGAGGAAGTAAAGGGAATAAGTCCCAAGATTACAAATACGGCGGAAATAAGTTCCCCGAAACCCGCGGGAATAAGTCCCCGGGAAGCCGAAGGAATAAGTCCTTCGAAGCCTGAGGGAATAAGTCCCCAGGAAATGACAGAGACATTGAATGTCATAGTCCATAACGGGTCAAGTGTAGGCGCTTATACACTTGATCTGATTGCGCCTCCGAAGTTAACTTCGGAGATCACTCAGTTGCCAACGCTCGAACATAAAAGGTTCTTGCGTGATCTGTGTTGTGGCAAAGTCAAGCAGATCTGCATACTCGTCGCTGACGACGAGTGTGTAACCGACATAAGGTCAGCAACAGTGTTTACTGAGAACGAGAGAGTTCTCAGTAGTTCATCTATGGACGAGAGTGTCCTAGATGAAAAGACACGAGTTGAGCGATATGACTCCCAATCGTGGGAATCGCTCAAGACAAATCCTCTCTATGAAGATTTAGTTGAATTCAAGGATGTATTCCCTGAAACTGTTCCGTGCGAATTACCGAAGGATAAAGGTATTCGACACGAGGTCGAGCTTAAACCAGGCTCGAAGTAATGTGTCATGAAGCAGTGGCCACTGCCTCGTGAACAAGTACTTGCGATCGACAAGTTCTTTGCCGATCGTTTAGCTGCGGGCCATGTGAGGAGATCAACTTCCCCACATAGCTCTCCGACCTTCTGTGTGCGAAAAGCAACAGGAGGGTGGCGGATAGTGCATGCATTTAACAAGTTGAATGCTGCAACGGTACCGGCTCAGACGCCGATACCGAGGAAGGACGTAATCATTGATGGTATGTCAAAGAGTACCATCTTTTCGTCCATGAATTTGATGGATGGCTTCTATCAAATCCTTATGCGAGAACGGGATGTACCCTATACCGCAGTTAGCACGCCCAGCGGCATGCTCTAGGAATGGCTAGTAATGCCACAAGGGCTTAGTAATGCCCCTGCCACGTTCAACAGATGTGTATCACATCTGTTGAGACCAGTACGAGAATTCGCACCGAGTTATTTCGATGATGTATTCATCCATAGTCGGGCTATGGATGGAAAGTCGGATGTTGATGTTCACAGGTACCACGTCCGACAGGTTCTTACAATCATGCGAAAGCATCGAATGTATGCAAACCTCAAGAAGTGTATATTTGCAGCAAGCGAAATACCACTTCTTGGGTGCATCGTTGGTAAGGACGGTGTACGTCCTGATCCCGAAAAGATCAAGGCGATCACCGACTAGCCCGTGCCGGTCGATGTCAAAGGTCTTCGAAAATTCCTTGGGCTAGCGGCGTATTTGCATAAGTATTCACGCAATTACGCCGAGATGACTGTGCACCTCTCTCGTTTGTTGAAAAAGAACGAGAGGTGGTTATGAAACGCTGAATGTCAGCGCTCCTTTGATGGTATCAAGCAGAGCTTGATACAATCCCCAGTCCTAGCAATAGCCGATCAGGACAGGCCATTTCATGTGGTCTGTGATGCCAGCGATTTCGCAATCGGCTGTGCATAAATGCAGTACGATCTTGAAGGAGTTGAACGCGTCGTCTGCTATCAGTCGCGTCAGCTGCAACCAGCTGAGCGGAACTATCCAGTGCATGACAAGGAACTCCTTGCCATGAAGTATGCACTCGCGAAGTTCAGAGTCTATCTATTAGGAGATAGACCCTTCATTGTTTACACTGACCATGCGTCATTACGCACGGCAGTGAACAGCCCGCACCTTTCACAACGAATGGCGCGGTGGTTGTCATTCTTTGCAGAATACAACTTTACGGTCGAGTACAAACCAGGACGACTTAATGTCGTCGCTGATGCACTCTCACGTCGCCCCGACTTTGAACCAGTCGTGAAACCCAACAGTGAGACAGTCACTGTTGCGGTTGTAACGTCCTCAGCACCATCTTCAACGTTGCATGATGATTTGAGGCGGGCGTATGCCCAAGATGGTGATATTGTGAAGTTGTTGACACATCTCTCACAGCCATCTCGAGAATCGTTGAAACGATTATCGTCTGCGTATCGATCTGCATCAGATCGAAACACTACTCGCAACGGTTTTACTGTATTATACAGCAGTTTCTTGTGACACACCACGTGTTGTCATTCCAGATGATACTGATCTGCGTTTGCGGATCATGTTCGAGTATCACGATGCTCCTATAGGAGGACATCGTGGCCGAGAGAAAACATATCTCACGGTGAGTCGAGACTTTTACTGGCCCCGCCAGTATCAGTTTGTGCGCAAGTACGTTCGCGCATGCGAAGTCTGTCAACACGTGAAGTCAAGTCCTTCACTGCGTGCACCTTTAAAGCCTCTACCGGTTCCGGCTGAGTGCTGGGAATCCATCTCAATGGATTTCGTCTTCGGGTTACCCAAAGACGCACGCGGGAATACGGGTATTCTCGTATTTGTTGACAGATTCAGCAAAACGGTACACCTTGTGGCGGTACCAGAGACAATCACGGCAAGTGGCTGTGCTTGTGTCTTTATTGACACCATCTTCCGACTTCATGGGTTGCCCCGTGAGCTCGTATTAGACAGAGATCCACACGTCACTGCTGATTTCTGGCGTTCCGTGCAAATCACTCGGATCGCGCTTGAAGATGTCTACATCTGATCAACCAGATTCAGATGGTCAGACGGAACGTGCCAATCGTGTCCTTGAAGAGATACTTCGAGGATACGTACACTCCTTTAAGAGTTGGAGTGAGTTCTTGCCAATGGTAGAGTTTGCCATCAACAACTCGGTGCATGCGTCCACGACACATACACCGTTTTACGTGAATGGATTGCGCCATCCGCGTGTACCCACCTTACTAGAGTGTAACTCTGGTTTAAAAGAGGGAGGGACTCGTGCGAGCAAAGACCGAATTGGTTCACGCTCATCACGCTCTGACGAAGAGGTCATTGCGTTTGATGCCGATATCGATAACATCGATATCGAAGAAGATGATGCCAGTGAGAGTGCGGAAGCCCTCACTGAAAAAAGGTTGATGTTGCTGCAGTGCGCTCACAGCGCACTGAAGCTAACGAGTCATCAGATGAATTCATACTGGCTCGTGAAACGGTAGTCCGTTTTGTGCAAGATTCCATCGCCGAAGCGGTGGATAAGCAAAAGCAAAACGCTGACAAGAATGGAAGGGCAAACACTCTTTTATTTAATAAAGGTGACTTAGTCCTACTGTCTACGGTTAATCTACCAAAGCATGTAGTGACTAACTTGGGTAGCAGTAAACTACTACCCAAGTACATCGGCCCTTTTCATGTATTGCACCGCCTAGGCAATGCATACACGATCGAGTTGCCACGTAAGATGCGAACGCATCCCACTTTTTACGTTGGTCGGATTAAGCCGTACCATCAGTACGCTGCTTCTTCCGATGAAGAACGCCCTTGCGCTCAAGCATCTCGCAGAGAGCCTTGTGCTCCCGATGGTGGGCATCGACAAGGGTCTGAAGAGCAGCTATCTCATCCCGAGACCGATCAACAATCCCACGAGCTACCCTTAGCTCGTCACGAAGAGATGTCAGAGCTCTCTCGTTCTCAAGCTGAGCAAATTCAACTCAGCTCGATGCTTCGAGACAGTGTCCGCCAGTTGGAGACGCCAGTCCCGCTCATGTTCGAGATCGTTACGTAACCCTTGCGTTACGCGATCAAAGAAGCTCTCGGGAACACACGGATCCCCACGATCGTGTGGAGAGCGTTTTCCCTCCTCCTCCACCTCCATTAGAGGACTCTCGCGGTGGCCAGCGCTATCTAGTTGAGCAGCTGTTGAACCACCGCGACGTGAACGGACGTCGGACGAGTTATCTCGTCCGGTGGCGCGGCTATCCCCCGTCCTGGGATACTTGGGAGACCCGCTCCCAACTGATGATTGACGTACTGGGTCTGGTTGAGCAGTACGACGCGCCACATCCTGTGCCGCAGAAGGACCGCCGGAGAAAGTCTTCCCGGCACGGTCGTAAAGGGATTTCAGATTGTCAATCCCTTCGTACATCTCAGTAGAGATACGTACGCGCCACCACGGGCTGGTAAGGAGGTAAGCCTCCTTAGGTGCTCGTGCAGAGATGTCCACACAACATGGGCACGAGTCCCCTCATGAGAGGCAGGGTAATCCTTTCTCCCTTGACAGACGATGCAGCTTGTAGCGTGCACCTGTCGGGGTTCGCTTTTCAAACTTATCACCAGCTTTGATAAGTTTGTCGTTCCAAACGTCACGACCTACATCCTCAAGGTTATAAATGTAGGCGTTCCACGCTTGAAGCAGTGAGGGACCATCACGTTTGTGATTCCCACTGTACCATCGATGTTTAAAGAAAGCATCGATGAAGAATTCATTCTCAGCGCGATAGTTTTTCGCGCTGGGGTCAAGGTGATGGATCCTTGACGAATCGAACAACCGTGTTCGATAACGATCACTCGTCGTCGCCGACAAGTGATCCATGACAGATTTAGGAGGCATCCATGCCTTCTTCTCAGGAGCTAGACGCAAGACATTGTGGTCCCGCTCTTCCTGCGATGTGCCGACAGAAGGACTGGCACCTCGTTGCGCAGTGGTGTCTATTGGAGAAACGACACCACTGTTAGCGCCCGAGTCTCGCGACCTCGAGCGCCTTCGCTTCGGCGATGGTTCATCTGATGAATCAGATGAACCAAAGATGCTACGACGGAAAGCATCATCCATGCCACGCTTGGCAGGCGGCTTGGATTCGATCGCCGTCGATACGGATCCGTCATCCGTATCAGGAGAGTATGAGACACCGAGCTCATACTCTGTGAAGACACGAGTGTCTTCATGACCAGCGCCTGCATCACCAGGTGATACAGGCTGAGTCGATTCAGCAACCGATGGGACATCAGTTGCTGTAGTTTCTGCTTCGGCGTCCGCACAGAGACGTGCAGACGCGCTCTCGGCGGCCTTGTTCGCGCATCGCATGAGCTTGTTAACCATGCGATGAATTGTTGGAAAGTGGACGCGGACCAACAAGTGCAAACCCTGTCACAAATGATTTGGGACGAGTATCCATTCAGTCAATCAGTCACTAAAGTGACTGATGGTTAAAAGGGGGGTGATGTAACGGGGTGAATCGTTACATAACAATTTATAAGAAATTGTTAATAGAATACAACTATAAGAGTTATATTCTCACAATATTGTCGTAAGGACAATATTCTGCAGCACTTACGGGTAGTTCCTGATTGGTTGATATAGGCCATTATATCAACCAACGAAGACGCGCCACGACAGACGCACGCAATGAGTGGTGAGCAGATAATTGATTTACACATTTGTATTTAGACATAGTTAGATGAAGATAAATAGTGATTTATTGCAGACATTAACTATTATAAATACAGTTCTACTTTTTACTCTAACCAAGTACTCGCTTCTTCTTACCGTCTTCCTCTGCACGTACGAGTGTACGTGAAGTTACGAGGCACCGCCTTATTCTGTCATCAGAATAAGTAGCTTGTACTGTCACCAGTACACGCTTCAGGGTGCCCCGTTACATACGACCTGGTCTGGTGCCTTAAATACAAAGTAGGGAATAGCTGCAATGTACAACCAAACGTACAGTCGCTGACTTATGTCTGTCGATTTTGTCGTATCGCGAGAAGACGAACGATGTTCAAAGTGCCTATCACGAAAGTTGCACAGCGAAAACACCTAGTCGTCATCCTTCTTGCAAATCGATCACTGTTGCTACCGACAATCTTGTTGAAGTAACAACTAGAACGAATTCGCGGTTTCGACAACCATGCATGGTCGTATGTGTCAGGAAAGTAGCCAGCTTACGTCTTGATACAGAATTGATCAACCATACGTACGAAACGAATTGTCTTATATCACATACTACAACTGTCATGAATCATTATCGGATGGATGGGTCTGCAGTCAGGCCACACAAGCGGGTGTCAGACGTGCATCAAAGCTGGTGGCTTAGCTAAAATACGGCCGCCGCAAGAATGAACGACACGCGCTTTAAATGTTAAGACGGGCCTTGCGATCGTATGCTCTACATTTGCTCGTGTTGCGTAATAAAGGGAATGGCCAAAATCGCCACGCGTGTTTACTGTATCCATCAAATTAACCACAATTACACCTTTTAGAGAGAGTGTCAGTTCGCGCTGCTCGTTCCATATCTGTATTAGACCTAGTGTAGCGGAGCTACACAGCTCCTTGAGTCAGAGTAAGACTTAACGCTCAACGAGCAACTAAGTTATAATGAACTAGACTCAATGAGTCAACAAGCGTAAAGCTTATGGTCCTTGTTCCAGGGGACCAAACGATTCAATGGATCGACAGCACTTAGTGCTCAAGAGTCACTAGCTACCTCAGGGAGGTGTTGCTAACTCTTAGTGATCAGCGATAAACGACCAAAGACGCCTCGCAAGGCACGTGTCTTTAAGATCAAAAGGGGAACTGAATATTATTTACACTTAAACCTATAGAATACCTTAATCCTCATCTAGACACTTATGTCCTAATTTAGTACAACTAAGATATCTCCTATGTGGTGGCTGACACCAATCAGCTCCTGTAGACCGATAAGATATTCTATATCTCTTTCAGTGGGATATCATCCGTGTGTCTAAAACAAAGGGTACCAGGTACCCAACTACGTGTGACCCTGCTACACCTAGCGCTGCAACAGATCGATGCAGTTGAGCGTGCACTGGTGCGGAGGTCCCCGCGAGATAACCTGGTGCAAGATCTGGAATACTCCTCGCATATTCATCGGAGCAGGTTTTGTCGCTACGCGTCCAAACATCGGAGAATTATACAGATCCATTAGTCGGAGATGATGGGAAGTGTAACGGTGTGAACCTGTTCCATAAAATTGATACAACTGTTTGAATTTCTGAAATTTATCCGTGCAGATAATATATAATCAACATCACTTCCGAAGAGGTGATGTTGGCTGAATATTACTCCCGAGGGTAATATCCTGGGGTGCTCCACTTTTGGTTGATGTAGACACTCCATCAACCAAATTTCCCACCACTCGCTGCTGAACGCGCGCAATGGGTGGTGAGCAAGAAACCTGTATAGGAGATTGTAGTTTGATGTAGTTCGACCAAGACAACGATGATCTACAAAGAAACACAACTTTATTAAACACAATTATGCGTTTCCCTAAATAGAGCTCTTTGTTCTGTTTACTTCGCTTCGCCTCCTCACGTCAATTTTACGTGACGTCGAGATCACGCAGCCTTGTGTTCAGTCAACAAAAGTTCTTACCAGTCATCTGGTAAGGGTGAGCCTCGTAACTGGAGGGCCACCAGTTATTTTTTCTTACCATTAAAAACCAAGCGCTCCAGGGGCACAGGATCCCAAGGAGCGGCCCTTACCTGTAACGGGTCATCCTTTGTTTTGGGGTGCCACGAAACCTCACGTACACTGATACGTGCAGAGGAAGCTAGTTTACTGAAACTGCTAGTTTGAGTAAAGGTAAAAAGCGAACTGTACTGAATATAGTTAAGCTATCAATATAACTTCAATCTTTATCGAGCTTTTTTAATCTACATTGTCGTATGACGACAACCTGCTCAACACTCATTACGCGCGTCTAGCAGCGATTAGTGGTAATCTTGGTCGATATGTCTAACATCAACCAATCTTTAAGCAGCGCATGAATATTATCCTAAGGGGATAACATACCTTCAATACTACCTATATCGGGTAATATTGGCAGAAAATTGTCATGCTAGACTATCTTCCTATTGACACCGTTTGGTGTCAATAGCATGTAACGGGCTACCCCGTGACATAACCCCCCAAATTATGCATTACCCATATTTGAATTTAATTAATATAGATAGAGTGATCACCGTTAAACTACCCTGGAAAAAGAGAAGGACCTGTTTGTCTAAATTTAATTCATTTACCAGTTTATCGCATGGCGTCAAATTCCATGCACTAAGCTGCCGAAGCAGCCAGAAAGGCGGTTTCACGCACGAGTGCAGCCGAAAAAGGTACTTTTCAAGCCTCAGCATCAGGTGGTCATGCTGTTGCGACTGAGAAAAAGGCAGTGCCTGTTTAGACTAGTCCACGTGGTGAGCCACCGCTTGCGACAGATACATCTGCTGCGCCTGTAACGGGTGCTGCAACTCGCAATGCGGACGAGCCTGGAATAGAGGTCATCTATTCTGGCGAGCGGATGATGCATCCAATTTGAGTCGGCGCCTCCCACCTCTGGATCATCCGCGTCAGAAACTGCAAGAGCCAGGTTGAATGGCTCTGGGGAACGTGGTGGCACCATGTCCGAGATCTTCGGACCGAGCGATCAGTCTGACGAATCCTCGTCTCACGCAAGGCGATCTGACAATAGGAAGCGTGGTGATGCACCTATACATCACAACGAGCGAAGTAATCGAGGCAACGAGCTGCTACTGGTGTCAGTGCTCATGCTGACACCACTAAAGAGACGAAAGACCGCAATGTCCTGCGCCACGCTCCTCAAGTGGAGTCTCCTTGGATACCATCATCTTAGGAGTTAGATCGAGAGAACGGCATGATCAACGAACAAATCGAATACCGTTGTTCGACTGTAGAAGGATCTGTCATCTTAATTCCAGCACAGAAACTATTCATGCTGAGGAGGTATTCTTAACGGATGTGTTTTCAAGCATCGGTGGTGCAATGACAACCGTGGCCAGGACGATAAGGCCTTGGTGCAAGGATTGAATGCCTTCATCCATACAACGAGTGTATTGGCCGTGAGACCTGGCTCAGTAAACTTGATGCGGCTCGCATCGCATATTAAAAGCGTAACCCGGCCTGTGACGAGGAAGCCCATTACACGTTATTGACACCAAACAGTGTCAATAGGAAGATAGTCTAGCATGACAATTTTCTGCCAATATTACCCGATATAGGTAGTATTGAAGGTATATTATCCCCTTAGGATAATATTCATGCGCTGCTTAAAGATTGGTTGATGTTAGACATATCGACCAAGATTACCACTAATCGCTGCTAGACGCGCGTAATGAGTGTTGAGCAGGTTGTCGTCATACGACAATGTAGATTAAAAAAGCTCGATAAAGATTGAAGTTATATTGATAGCTTAACTATATTCAGTACAGTTCGCTTTTTACCTTTACTCAAACTAGCAGTTTCAGTAAACTAGCTTCCTCTGCACGTACCAGTGTACGTGAGGTTTCGTGGCACCCCAAAACAAAGGATGACCCGTTACAGGTAAGGGCCGCTCCTTGGGATCCTGTGCCCCTGGAGCGCTTGGTTTTTAATGGTAAGAAAAAAATAACTGGTGGCCCTCCAGTTACGAGGCTCACCCTTACCAGATGACTGGTAAGAACTTTTGTTGACTGAACACAAGGCTGCGTGATCTCGACGTCACGTAAAATTGACGTGAGGAGGCGAAGCGAAGTAAACAGAACAAAGAGCTCTATTTAGGGAAACGCATAATTGTGTTTAATAAAGTTGTGTTTCTTTGTAGATCATCGTTGTCTTGGTCGAACTACATCAAACTACAATCTCCTATACAGGTTTCTTGCTCACCACCCATTGCGCGCGTTCAGCAGCGAGTGGTGGGAAATTTGGTTGATGGAGTGTCTACATCAACCAAAAGTGGAGCACCCCAGGATATTACCCTCGGGAGTAATATTCAGCCAACATCACCTCTTCGGAAGTGATGTTGATTATATATTATCTGCACGGATAAATTTCAGAAATTCAAACAGTTGTATCAATTTTATGGAACAGGTTCACACCGTTACACTTCCCATCATCTCCGACTAATGGATCTGTATAATTCTCCGATGTTTGGACGCGTAGCGACAAAACCTGCTCCGATGAATATGCGAGGAGTATTCCAGATCTTGCACCAGGTTATCTCGCGGGGACCTCCGCACCAGTGCACGCTCAACTGCATCGATCTGTTGCAGCGCTAGGTGTAGCAGGGTCACACGTAGTTGGGTACCTGGTACCCTTTGTTTTAGACACACGGATGATATCCCACTGAAAGAGATATAGAATATCTTATCGGTCTACAGGAGCTGATTGGTGTCAGCCACCACATAGGAGATATCTTAGTTGTACTAAATTAGGACATAAGTGTCTAGATGAGGATTAAGATATTCTATAGGTTTAAGTGTAAATAATATTCAGTTCCCCTTTTGATCTTAAAGACACGTGCCTTGCGAGGCGTCTTTGGTCGTTTATCGCTGATCACTAAGAGTTAGCAACACCTCCCTGAGGTAGCTAGTGACTCTTGAGCACTAAGTGCTGTCGATCCATTGAATCGTTTGGTCCCCTGGAACAAGGACCATAAGCTTTACGCTTGTTGACTCATTGAGTCTAGTTCATTATAACTTAGTTGCTCGTTGAGCGTTAAGTCTTACTCTGACTCAAGGAGCTGTGTAGCTCCGCTACACTAGGTCTAATACAGATATGGAACGAGCAGCGCGAACTGACACTCTCTCTAAAAGGTGTAATTGTGGTTAATTTGATGGATACAGTAAACACGCGTGGCGATTTTGGCCATTCCCTTTATTACGCAACACGAGCAAATGTAGAGCATACGATCGCAAGGCCCGTCTTAACATTTAAAGCGCGTGTCGTTCATTCTTGCGGCGGCCGTATTTTAGCTAAGCCACCAGCTTTGATGCACGTCTGACACCCGCTTGTGTGGCCTGACTGCAGACCCATCCATCCGATAATGATTCATGACAGTTGTAGTATGTGATATAAGACAATTCGTTTCGTACGTATGGTTGATCAATTCTGTATCAAGACGTAAGCTGGCTACTTTCCTGACACATACGACCATGCATGGTTGTCGAAACCGCGAATTCGTTCTAGTTGTTACTTCAACAAGATTGTCGGTAGCAACAGTGATCGATTTGCAAGAAGGATGACGACTAGGTGTTTTCGCTGTGCAACTTTCGTGATAGGCACTTTGAACATCGTTCGTCTTCTCGCGATACGACAAAATCGACAGACATAAGTCAGCGACTGTACGTTTGGTTGTACATTGCAGCAAATCCCTACTTTGTATTTAAGGCACCAGGCCAGGTCGTACAAGTGCTGCAGTAAACTTGAATGCTCGATATGGGTGTTTGTAAACAGAATACGAGCTACCCTGGTACGTCAATTACTACTATCACGAGTAGTACGACCTACCCTGGTACGTCAATTACTACTATCACGAGTAGTAATTGACGTACCAGGGTAGCTCGTATTCTGTTTACAAACACCCATATCGAGCATTATAGATAGACGGAGTGATACTATCAAACTACTTTTATGGCGATGCGCTATTCTCGCTTACTAGAGACAACGGCGTGCGTACAGCTTTGCGTGATTCAGTAGAGGTAGCCTTCAGTCAAAACCTGCACGACCTCGATAGCTCTTTGCTTTGTCACACTCGCCCAACACTTGGCCAGTAAAGTCGACATCAAGACGTGAAGTGCTGTACAACCAAGACATGGCTCCGCCTATGTTACGACTCGAGTGCGTAACGTACTTTAACATGGCTTGCCGGTAGTGATGCATACATTGTACTAGTGTGTGCTACGTCATGCATCACCGATTACACACCATACATGGATCTCTATGTACTGCAACGAAAACACATAATATAAACAAGCGCGTCGCGTACGGGTCACCACATGCGCACACTGCCACAGCGATAGCACGATCCCTGGGGAGTTCTAACGAGAACTACATACAGGAAAACGATTAGCAAGCCAACCGCCCGCACAATATGGCATCAGAAACAGCCAATTTGACTTTCTTGCAAGGGCTCCACGCTCTTCATGTCGGTCGGTTACGAACAGCAGCAAATCAATTTGAAAAGCACATGATCCGGAGCTCCGACGTCATTCACTTGGCTGCCGTCGTAGAGCTCTGCGACCGACGCTTGCTAGACGTTCGGGAGGGATAGAGTGCACGAGCGTGGTGTCCACAGAAACTATCAGATGGGGACTAGCGTCTGCGAGAGCCGTTGGCCGTAATGTACGACCAGCTGTTTGTGTCGAGTGGCACCATCGGTACGACCAAATCTGCTGCCACGGACAAGGAAGCGGGAATTGACGTGGCTGCCGCAACAGTAAATGTCGTAGAGTCGGTGTTGTGGTAAAAGGTATACACAGCCAAGTAGTTTTCACGCACTGTGTTGCTAGCGTTACTGAGAAGATAGTGCATGATTACTGCTGCGAGGGACGAAGTCAGTAACGCGGCCCAAGGCGATCGCAATCGACTGCAGGGGAGGTTAACAAGGTACCAATAGTGTCGTAACACAAGTCGAGGAATCGCTGCTGGTACTTGCGGGTCTGCGGTTCTTATGGTTGATCGACGACCTGGTAAAAGGCGCTGGTCCAGTTCTATTCAACTGGTGAAAGCGAGTCAAAACACATGAAAGCCGAGACGCTAGGCCTATAGTCATACAGCAGCGTAAAATCGATCTTAGGTGTTCGCGTTCAAAAGGCACATTTCCAGTAATCGAACGGTTCCTCGAGTCTGAGCTTGCGTCGTTGTCGTGCATTAATCACTTCTTCGATCGCACGGAGGAGGAGGTTGAAGCTGATCAAGTTGCTGCTTCAAATGCAGACGTAGTGGTGCTTCGCAAGTTAAAGACGGGGCTAAGGCACATGTCGCCTGCTCGTGGTTGTGAGTAGAAGGAACGCGACATCCACTCGCCAAATTGTAGTATTCTGTTCTACGCTGTCGTATGAGGCTTGCCGGCTCTCGCGGCAAATTTTGGGCCTGCGTGGATGAGAGCGGATGTTTTCTTGGACTGCAATTTGCGACACCTCTTCGCCAAATTGTGACGTGAATCCCTGGGCTACCGCGGTATTGGGGACCTGCCTATCCATCGTGACAACCACGAATATTCGGGTTCGCCACTGAGATGCAGGGATCGGTGAGGGTAGTCGTGACGTCGGTTTACGGGCAACTTGTACTGACTTTAGTCCAGGGAGGTTTTAACTGCCTGCAACCATGTGGCATGTAGATGCGCTGACGAGTGGAGCTAGGAGGGAATGATGTAGCGGGAGTGATATAAGAAGACCGTCATACAGGAACTCCGGTGCGTGGTCGTTGGGTCGACGAGGCGTGACCCGATGAGTGGAGGGGGCTGCCCGATGCTTGGGCTGACGAGTGAGGACAAGCTCGAGTCGGGTTTAGAAAATGGTCGGGACAATGGTTTTTCAATACAACTTAGAGCTGCATTCCAGCACGTGAGCTAATGAACGCTACAACGCCCTGCTTGCCGCTATGCAGCTTCCCCTTGTACGCGCCGCCACTGCAACGCCGAGAGATCACAGGCGTTCAGCCGCCGTCGTGTCAACCGTTAAGCGTCTGCTTCTTCTTCACTTCCCTCGGTGCTATCTCCATCATCTCCTCAGAACTGGCACCAAATTTCCCTTCAAGATATGCGTCGTGTTCCATATCGATGGCTGGAGCAGTGTCGGTCTTGGTCACAAAGGTAGACGGGGCCTTCAACTTCTTCGGCCGTACATCGCAGTAATACTTCTGCACCACTGCAAGCAGTTGGTCTCGCGATATGGTGGCAAGCTTCGTGGATGCTTCCATGGACATTTTGGTCCTCAGATCAGTGAAAGCAGCCGTCAACGACGATAAATTCCCCTTCCTTCAGCGTTTATCGGTCAGCGGCGTCGTGCGTGCGATGAAAAGTAGGTTTGCCAACCCCTTCCACGCGAATCGACGACCCTTGGCTTGGCGTTGACAGCTTAGTTATCTGCTTGATGACTAGAGCCAAAAGGGCACCGCTTGCCAGCGTCAAGACGAGCGGGAGTACGAGGAGAAGGAGCCACTCACGCATGACAGGGCGGGGAACTGCGGGTAGACTGAATGGAGGGAGGGAGGATAATGTCGGGACTTAGTGTGGGAGAGAATGACATTCGAACTGAGAATAATCGCGGAGCAAATCTCATTAGCAGTGGGGAAAGGCTTAACACACCTGTCGCGAGTGAGTCATTGAGCCACTGATATGTTGTAGCCAATCAAAATCTGATTTTATAATCTTAATCTTTAATACTTAATCTGATCCTGATGATGCTCAACTAAATTCGATTCACAGTCCTCCCTCAGATAACGTTTCCAATGGTAGCTAATAACCTCCGCTATTAAATAAGATTGGGCATCTTCCGAGGTCGTTCTTTGGTTGTTCGATATCACTAACTTATAACTTTATAAAAAAATTGCCTAGAAGCGAAAAAAAGGCTTTTATATGGAGAATTTATACAAAATGGAGGAGAGTAAGCCTACGATTAAAAATGTCGTTCACTATTACGTGCAGAGGAAGCTAATCTACTCTACAGCAATGTTGAGTAAAGGAAAAAAGGGAACTGTACTGAACATAGTTAAGCTATCAACATAACTTCAGTCTTTATCTAACTATATTAATCTACGTCGCCGTATGACGACAACCTGCTCACCACTCATTACGCGCGTCTAGCAGCGATTGGTATTAATCTATGGCTGATGTGTCTTATATTAACCAATCTTGAAGCAGCGCATGAATATTACCCAAAAGGGGATAATATACCTTCAATACTACCTATCTCGGATAACATTGATAGAATATTGTCGTGCTAAGCAAAATTCCTATTGACACCGTTTGGTGTCAATTTCATGTGACGGCTACCCCGTAACAGAAGTAATGACTCAAGGGATGATACATCGTTGCGATATATGTTTATCGAGGGCGAAAGTTAGTTTAGTGCGCGAAATGATAGCGATTGCCACCTCAAGCACGGCAAATTGATTTGTTGCCTGTACAATAAAAATCTGCATTACTTTCCTGTCATCGCTAGGCTGGCAGCATAGAGTAACTTCCAATCAGCACGTTAATGCTGTACTATATTTTGCCAAGCTTGCCGAAAGACGCCTTCACCAGCAAGATGTGTTTAGATCGCAGTGTATACTTTGCAGTTGCAATTCCTTTAGGTTTTAATCGTTCTCCAGAGCGATGCTCAGTTGACACTTCTTCCACTTACCCCTGCTTTATATGCTCCGGTAGATAGGTGTAGCCAATAGGAATTGATAATACTACTACCGCAGATGTGAAAGTCAGCATCTTCGCAACGAAGACCAAAACTAATGCATACGTTTGCATCAGTGACCCAATCCAGGATACGCTGGCAGAAATTCATCGCATAAACATTCTTAGCATCCACGGCTAATTGCTCATTGAGATAACACAACGTTATAGGTCATACTCGGTAACAAGTACCTGCGAGGGTTATAATGAACTATTCCAGGAGAATAATGTTAATGAGAAGTGTTTGGTTCATTAGTCGTAGTTTCGGAGTAAAATCTGTGATGAGGGAGGAGATGTGTAACGGGGTGGTTCTTTACATAACAGTTTATAAGAAATTGTTAATAGAATATAACTATAAGAGCTATATTCTCAGAATATTGTCATAAGGACAATATTCTGTAGCACTTACGAGTAGTTCCTAATTGGTTGATATAGGCCATTATATCAACCAACGAAGACGCGCCACGACAGACGCACGCAATGAGTGGTGAGCAGATAGTTGATATGCACATTTGTATTTAGACATAGTTAGATGAAGATAAATAGTGATTTATTGCAGACATTCACTATGATAAATACAGTTCTACTTTTTACTCTAACCAAGTACTCGCTTCTTCTTACCGTCTTCCTCTGCACGTACGAGCGTACGTGAAGTTACGAGGCACCGCCTTATTCTGTCATCAGAATAAGTAGCTTGTACTGTTACCGGTACAAGCTTCAGGGTGCCCCGTTACACGCGGTAGCACTTCGTAGTCCGTCCAAGGACCGCGTTCACATCCAACATGAATATGTTGGATGATGAAGATGACCAAAGCTTTCACGCTACGCGTGACGGCTACTCCCATTTGAGCGATGTCGAATGGGATGCGGTTGAACGAATGGGTTCGACCATGGGCATCCATGCTGTTAGCGTCATGCTAGAGGCTCTCAATAGAGATGCCCAACATGCTACTATCGCCAAGTTCATTCAAAATGAACTTGACGCTGAACGCGAGAAAGTAGCCTTGCTTCACCAACAAGGTTCTCAACAAGCAGAGTTGTTGAGAGAACAGGGTGCTCAACAGTTTGAACTGTTGAGACAGCAGCAGGCTGCTGCTGGTGGGTCGATGCATTCGCGTCGACCCGAAACCTTGAAGATTGACATCTCCAAGTATAGGGGGGTCGAAGAGGACTCCCTCTTGAGATGGTTCGTCGAATTGGATGACGCCATAAGGGCGCGTCGCATCGACGACGGGGATATGCAAGTTGCATTTGCCCAGTCAAATCTGGCAGGACGTGCCAAGACTTGGGCACTGGGGCTCAAGTTGCACGACCCATATGCGTTTGGGTCGTTGGAAGTCTTCAAGTCGCGGCTCAGACAAACGTTTGAACCGCCTAGAGCTGAGTTCAGGGCTCGAACCGAACTCTTGAAGCTCAAGCAGGGTAAGCGTGATGTGCACGCTTACGCTCAACACATACGACATCTCACGAGCTGTATAAGTTCCAATCCGGTGGATGAACACACGTTGGTTTCGGTGTTCATGCAGGGTCTTGCGGATGGTCCCGTCAAGACTCACCTGTTCCGGATTGAACTAGATTCACTAGAACAAACCATTTCCATTGCGGAGCAGGAAGACTTCAGTCTGAGACAGGCTCGCGCCAGCTCGACATCATATCGTCAACCGAGACGATATGACAGCGGAGGTCCAGAGCCGATGGAACTCTGTTATGTAGAGAGCGAGAAGGCTCGCTCTACAGGCTACAAGAAGTTGCAGAAATGCAACAGATGTCAAAAGACAGGACACTACGCTTACGAGTGTAGTGCCCCTCGTCCAGTGTCTCGCGATACTGGGCGTAGTGACCGTCCACCCATGAGAAAGGGGCAGGGACGCGGGTCCGCTGTTGGCGCAAAGACGCAACAACGGGATGGATTGTCAAAAATGGACAGGATCAGTAGGTGCGGAGCACCCTACTGGTCCAGCAACGTCAAGAGAATTTGTAGGCCTCTTGATGAAGGTTGCTCCCAACACACAGACGTTGTGCGTTGCTGCTCTAGGTAATGAGGTCTCACTCATTACCTTGAAACTCGAAGTGACGAATAAGTTGTCCCTTCGAGCTCTAGTCGATTGTGGGGCGTCCAACAATTTTGTGCGACGCCAATCGCTAGAAGATGGTCACTTTAAGTTCAGTGAATGTGACACACCTCCTACGAGGATGACGGTACGTCTTGCGACAGGCGCATCCGTAACCGTCATGAAGCGTATAGTGAAGATCCACTATACGCTAGAAGATACCCAATATGACGATGACTTTATCGTATTGGATTTGGATGACAAATTTGATGTCATCCTTGGAATACCGTGGCTCAGAAGGTACGAACCACGAGTAAACTGGCAACATCGGACAGTAACGATGCCTGCCGCTTGTTCATCAGATGGCCATCTGATGAACGTTTTGGAGCGTCCACAAGCGTGTGGATGTACTACGAGTGAGTGCGATGGCCACACTTGTGGTACGGTCGTTAGTACGACTGGACGAAACCTTAGTGTAATAACAGTTACACTTCGGAGCAAGCTTCCGGTGGCTGTGAGGAAACACAGGCTGCGCCGAAGGTCCACCACTCGAATAATTCGGGTGGACTGGGACAAAGATGTATCCCTAGTGGGGAACATCTAGAAGAGAAACAATCGATCGCTCAGGTTAAGCGAAACGATAATCCTAGATCGACTGGAGAGTCTTTCGTAGAGGATCTCGCTGTAATTGCGCAACCACAGCTAGAGGAAGTAAAGGTAATAAGTCCCAAGATTACAAATACGGCGGAAATAAGTTCCCCGAAACCCGCGGGAATAAGTCCCCGGGAAGACGAAGGAATAAGTCCTTCGAAGCCTGAGGGAATAAGTCCCCAGGAAATGACGGAGACATTGAATGTCATGGTCAATGATGGATCAAGTGTGGGCGATTACACACTTGATCTGATTGCGCCTCCGAAGTTGACTTCGGAGATCACTCAGTTGCCAACTCTCGAACGTAAAAGGTTCTTGCGTGATCTGTGTAGTGGCAAAGTCAAGCAGATCTGCGTACTCGTCGCTGACGACGAGTGTGTAGCTGACATAAGGTCAGCAACAATGTTTACTGAGAACGAGAGAGTTCTCAGTAGTTCATCGATGAACGAGAGTGTCCTCGATGAAAAGACACGAGTTGAGCGATATGACTCCCAATCATGGGAATCGCTCAAGACAAATCCTCTCTATGAAGATTTGGTTGAATTCAAGGATGTATTCCCTGAAACTGTTCCGTGCGAATTACCGAAGGATAAAGGTATTCGACACGAGGTCGAGCTTAAACCAGGCTCGACGTAATGTGTCATGAAGCAGTGGCCACTGCCTCGTGAGCAAGTACTTGCGATCGACAAGTTCTTTGCTGATCGTTTAGCTGCGGGCCATGTGAGGGAATCAACTTCCCCACATAGCTCTCCGACCTTCTGTGTGCGAAAAGCAACAGGAGGGTGGCGGATAGTGCACGCGTTCAACAAGTTGAATGCTGCAACGGTCCCGGCTCAGACGCCGATACCAAGGAAGGACGTAATCATTGATGGTATGTCAAAGAGTACCATCTTTTCGTCCATGGATTTGATGGATGGCTTCTATCAAATCCTTATGCGAGAACGGGATGTACCCTATACCGCAGTTAGCACGCCCAGCGGCATGCTCTAGGAATGGCTAGTAATGCCACAAGGGCTTAGTAATGCCCCTGCCACGTTCAACAGATGTGTATCACATCTGTTGAGACCAGTACGAGAATTTGCGCCGAGTTATTTCGATGATGTATTCATCCATAGTCGGGCTATGGATGGAAAGTCGGACGTTGAGGTTCACAGGTACCACGTCCGACAGGTTCTTACAATCATGCGAAAGCATCAATTGTATGCAAACCTCAAGAAGTGTATATTTGCAGCAAGCGAAATACCACTTCTTGGGTGCATCGTTGGTAAGAACGGTGTACGTCCTGAACCCGAAAAGATCAAGGCGATCACCGACTGGCCCGTGCCGGTCGATGTCAAAGGTCTTCGAAAATTCCTTGGGCTAGCGGCGTATTTGCATAAGTATTCACGCAATTACGCCGAGATGACTGTGCACCTCTCTCGTTTGTTGAAAAAGAACGAGAGGTGGTTATGAAACGCTGAATGTCAGCGCTCCTTTGATGGTATCAAGCAGAGCTTGATACAATCCCCAGTCCTAGCAATAGCCGATCAGGACAGGCCATTTCATGTGGTCTGTGATGCCAGCGATTTCGCAATCGGCTGTGCATAAATGCAGTACGATCTTGAAGGAGTTGAACGCGTCGTCTGCTATCAGTCGCGTCAGCTGCAACCAGCTGAGCGGAACTATCCAGTGCATGACAAGGAACTCCTTGCCATGAAGTATGCACTCGCGAAGTTCAGAGTCTATCTATTAGGAGATAGACCCTTCATTGTTTACACTGACCATGCGTCATTACGCACGGCAGTGAACAGCCCGCACCTTTCACAACGAATGGCGCGGTGGTTGTCATTCTTTGCAGAATACAACTTTACGGTCGAGTACAAACCAGGACGACTTAATGACGTCGCTGATGCACTCTCACGTCGCCCCGACTTTGAACCAGTCGTGAAACCCAACAGTGAGACAGTCACTGTTGCGGTTATGACGTCTTCAGTACCATCTTCAACGTTGCATGATGATGTGAGGCGGGCGTATGCCCAAGATGGTGAGATTGTGAAGTTGTTGACACATCTCTCACAGCCATCTCGAGAATCGTTGAAACGATTGTCGTCTGCGTATCGATCTGCATCAGATCGATACACTACTCGCGACGGTCTACTGTATTATACAGCCGTTTCTGGTGACACACCACGTGTTGTCATTCCAGATGATACTGATCTGCGTTTGCGGATCATGTTCGAGTATCACGATGCTCCTATAGGAGGACATCGTGGCCGGGAGAAAACATATCTCACGGTGAGTCGAGACTTTTACTGGCCCCGCCAGTATCAGTTTGTGCGAAAGTATGTTCGCGCATGCGAAGTCTGTCAACATGTGAAGTCAAGTCCTTCACTGCGTGCACCTTTAAAGCCTCTACCGGTTCCGGATGAGTGCTGGGAATCCATCTCAATGGATTTTGTCTTCGGGTTACCCAAAGACGCACGCGGGAATACGGCTATTCTCGTATTTGTTGACAGATTCAGCAAAACGGTACACCTTGTGGCGGTACCAGAGACAATCACGGCAAGTGGCTGTGCTTGTGTCTTTATTGACACCATCTTCCGACTTCATGGGTTGCCCCGTGAGCTCGTATTAGACAGAGATCCACACGTCACTGCTGATTTCTGGCGTTCCGTGCAAATCACTCGGATCGCGCTTGAAGATGTCTACATCTGATCATCCAGATTCAGATGGTCAGACGGAACGTGCCAATCGTGTCCTTGAAGAGATACTTCGAGGATACGTACACTCCTTTAAGAGTTGGAGTGAGTTCTTGCCAATGGTAGAGTTTGCCATCAACAACTCGGTGCATGCGTCCACGACACATACACCGTTTTACGTGAATGGATTGCGCCATCCGCGTGTACCCACCTTACTAGAGTGTAACTCTGGTTTAAAAGAGGGAGGGACTCGTGCGAGCAAAGACCGAATTGGTTCACGCTCATCACGCTCTGACGAAGAGGTCATTGCGTTTGATGCCGATATCGATAACATCGATATCGAAGAAGATGATGCCAGTGAGAGTGCGGAAGCCCTCACTGAAAAAAGGTTGATGTTGCTGCAGTGCGCTCACAGCGCACTGAAGCTAACGAGTCATCAGATGAATTCATACTGGCTCGTGAAACGGTAGTCCGTTTTGTGCAAGATTCCATCGCCGAAGCGGTGGATAAGCAAAAGCAAAACGCTGACAAGAATGGAAGGGCAAACACTCTTTTATTTAATAAAGGTGACTTAGTCCTACTGTCTACGGTTAATCTACCAAAGCATGTAGTGACTAACTTGGGTAGCAGTAAACTACTACCCAAGTACATCGGCCCTTTTCATGTATTGCACCGCCTAGGCAATGCATACACGATCGAACTGCTACGTAAGATGCGAACGCATCCCACGTTTTACGTTGGTCGGATTAAGCCGTACCATCAGTACGCTGCTTCTTCCGATGAAGAACGCCCTTGCGCTCAAGCATCTCGCAGAGAGCCTTGTGCTCCCGATGGTGGGCATCGACAAGGGTCTGAAGAGCAGCTATCTCATCCCGAGACCGATCAACAATCCCACGAGCTACCCTTAGCTCGTCACGAAGAGATGTCAGAGCTCTCTCGTTCTCAAGCTGAGCAAATTCAACTCAGCTCGATGCTTCGAGACAGTGTCCGCCAGTTGGAGACGCCAGTCCCGCTCATGTTCGAGATCGTTACGTAACCCTTGCGTTACGCGATCAAAGAAGCTCTCGGGAACACACGGATCCCCACGATCGTGTGGAGAGCGTTTTCCCTCCTCCTCCACCTCCATTAGAGGACTCTCGCGGTGGCCAGCGCTATCTAGTTGAGCAGCTGTTGAACCACCGCGACGTGAACGGACGTCGGACGAGTTATCTCGTCCGGTGGCGCGGCTATCCCCCGTCCTGGGATACTTGGGAGACCCGCTCCCAACTGATGATTGACGTACTGGGTCTGGTTGAGCAGTACGACGCGCCACATCCTGTGCCGCAGAAGGACCGCCGGAGAAAGTCTTCCCGGCACGGTCGTAAAGGGATTTCAGATTGTCAATCCCTTCGTACATCTCAGTAGAGATACGTACGCGCCACCACGGGCTGGTAAGGAGGTAAGCCTCCTTAGGTGCTCGTGCAGAGATGTCCACACAACATGGGCACGAGTCTCCCCAGGAGAGCCTTGGACAGACGATTCAGCTTGTAGCGTGCACCTGTCGGGGTTCGCTTTTCAAACTTATCACGAGCTTTGATAAGTTTGTCGTTCCAAACGTCACGACCTACATCCTCAAGGTTATGGATGTAGGCGTTCCACGCTTGAAGCAGTGAGGGACCATCACGTTTGTGATTCCCACTGTACCATCGATGTCTAAAGAAAGCATCGATGAAGAATTCATGTTCAGCGCGATAGTTTTTCGCACTGGGGTCAAGGTGATGGATCCTTGACGAATCGAACAACCGTGTTCGATAACGATCACTCGTCGTCGCCGACAAGTGATCCATGACGGATTTTGGAGGCATCCATGCCTTCTTCTCGGGAGCGAGACGCAACACACTGCGGTCCCGCTATTCTTGCGACGTGCCGATAGAAGGACTGGCACCTCGTTGCGATGTGGTGTCAATTGGAGAACCGACACCACTGTTAGCGCCCGAGTCTCGCGACCTCGAGCGCCTTCGCTTTGGCGATGGTTCATCTGATTCATCAGATGAACCAAAGATGCTGCGACGCAAAGCATTGCCATGCCACGCTTGGCAGGTGGCTTGGATTCGATCGCCGTCGATACGGATCCGTCTTCCGTATCAGGATAGTATGAGACACCGAGCTCATACTCTGTGAAGACACGAGTGTCTTCATGACGAGCGCCTGCATCACCAGGTGACACAGGCTGAGTCGCTTCAGCAACCGATGAGACATCAGTTGTAACGGGGCACCCTGAAGCTTGTACTGGTGACAGTACAAGCTACTTATTCTGATGACAGAATAAGGCGGTGCCTCGTGACTTCACGTACACTGGTACGTGCAGAGGAAGACGGTAAGAAGAAGCGAGTACTTGGTTAGAGTAAAAAGTAGAACTGTATTTATAATAGTTAATGTCTGCAATAAATCACTATTTATCTTCATCTAACTATGTCTAAATACAAATGTGTAAATCAGTTATCTGCTCACCACTCATTGCGTGCGTCTGTCGTGGCGCGTCTTCGTTGGTTGATATAATGGCCTATATCAACCAATTAGGAACTACTCGTAAGTGCTACAGAATATTTGTCCTTATGACAATATTCTGAGAATATAACTCTTATAGTTATATTCTATTAACAATTTCTTATAAATTGTTATGTAACGATTCACCCCGTTACATCACCCCCCCCTTAACCATCAGTCACTTTAGTGACTGATTGACTAAATGGATACTCGTCCCAAATCATTCGGGACAGGGTTTGCACTTGTTGGTCCGCGTCCACTTTCCAACAATTCATCGCATGGTAAACAAGCCCATGCGATGCGCGAGCAAGGCCGCCGAGAGCGCGTCTGCACGTCTCTGTGCGGACGCCGAAGCAGAAACAACAGCAACTGATGTCTCATCGGTTGCTGAAGCGACCCAGCCTGTGTCACTTGGTGATGCAGGCGCTGGTCATGAAGACACTCGTGTCTTCACAGAGTACGAGCTCGGTGTCTCGTACTCTCCTAATACGGATGACGGATCCGTATCGACGGCGATTGAATCTAAGCCGCCTGCCAAGCGTGGCATGGACGATGCTTTGCGTCGCAGCATCTTTGGTTCATCTGATGAATCAGATGAACCATCGCCGAAGCGAAGGCGCTCGAGGTCGCGAGACTCGGGCGCTAATAGTGGTGTCGGTTCTCCAATTGACACCACATCGCAACGAGGTGCCAGTACTTCTGTCGGCACGTCGCAGGAAGAGCGGGACCGCAATGTGTTGCGTCTCGCTCCTGAGAAGAAGGCATGGATGCCTCCTAAATCCGTCATGGATCACTTGTCGGCGACGACGAGTGATCGTTATCGAACACGATTATTCGATTCGTCAAGGATCCATCACCTTGACCCCAGCGCGAAAAACTATCGCGCTGAACATGAATTCTTCATAGATGCTTTCTTTAGACATCGATGGTACAGTGGGAATCACAAACGTGATGGTCCCTCACTACTTCAAGCGTGGAACGCCTACATCCATAACCTCGAGGATGTAGGTCGTGACGCTTGGAACGACAAACTTATCAAAGCTCGTGATAAGTTTGAAAAGCGAACCCCGACAGGTGCACGCTACAAGCTGCATCGTCTGTCAAGGGAGAAAGGATTACCCTGCCTCTCTTGGGGAGACTCGTGCCCATGTTGTGTGAACAACTCTGCACGAGCAACTAAGGAGGCTTAACTCCTTACCAGCCCGTGGTGGCGCGTACGTGTCTCTACTGAGATGTACGAAGGGATTGACAACCTGAAATCCCTTTACGACCGTGCCGGGAAGACTTTCTCCGGCGGTCCTTCTGGGGCACAGGATGTGCCGCGTCGTACTGCTCAACCAGACCCAGTACGTCGATTATCAGTTGGGAGCGGGGCTCCCAAGAATCCCAGGACGGGGGATAGCCGCGCCACCGGACGAGATAAATCGTCCGACGTCCGTTCACGTCGCGGTGGTTCAACAGCTGCTCAACTAGATAGCGCTGGCCACCGCGAGAGTCCTCTAATGGAGGTGGAGGAGGAGGAAAGACGCTCTCCACACGATCATGTGGATCCGTGTGTTCCCGAGAGCTTCTTTGATCGCGTAACGCAAGGGTTACGCGGCGATCTCGAACATGAGCGGAATAGGCGTCTCCAAATGGCGGACACTGCCTTGAAGCATAGAGCTGAGTTTGCCTTTGCTCAGCTTGAGAACGAGAGAGCTCTGACGTCTCTGCGTGACGAGCTAAGGCTAGCTCGTGGGATTGTTGATCGGTCTCGGGATGAGATAGCTGCTCTTCAGACCCTTGTCGATGCCCACCATCGGGAGCACAAGGCTCTCTGCGAGATGCTTGAGCGCAAGGGCGTTCTTCATCGGAAGAAGCAGCGTTCTGATGGTACGGCTTAAGCCGACCAACGTAAAACGTGGGATGCGTTCGCATCTTACGTGGCAACTCGATCGCGTATGCATTGCCTAGGCGGTGCAATAGACAGAATGGGCCAATGTACTTGGGTAGAACTTTACTACTACCCAAGTTAGTCACTACATGCTTTGGTAGATTAACCGTAGACAGTAGGACTAAGTCACCTTTATCAAATAAAAGAGTGTTTGCCCTTCCATTCTTGTCAGCGTTTCGCTTTTTCTTATCCACCGCTTCGGCGATGGAGTCTTGCACAAAACGGACTACCGTTTCACGAGCCAGTATGAACTCATCTGATGACTCGTTAGCTTCAGTGTGCTGTGAGCGCACTGCAGCAACATCAACCTTTTCTTCAGTGAGGGCTTCCGCACTCTCACTGGCATCATCTTCTTCGATATCGATGTTGTCGATATCGGCATCAAACGCAATGACTTCTTCGTCAGAGCGTGATGAGCGTGAACCAATTCGGTTTTTGCTCGCACGAGTCCCTCCCCCTTTTAAACCAGAGTTACACTCTAGTAAGGTGGGTACACGCGGATGGCGCAAGCCATTCACGTAAAACGGTGTATGTGTCGTGGACGCATGCACCGAGTTGTTGATGGCAAACTCTACCATTGGCAAGAACTCACTCCAACTCTTAAAGGAGTGTACGTACCCTCGAAGTATCTCTTCAAGGACACGATTGGCACGTTCCGTCTGACCATCTGACTCTGGATGATCAGATGTCGACATCTTCAAGCTCGTTCCGAGTGATTTGCACGGAACGCCAGAAATCAGCAGTGAAGCGTGGATCTCTGTCTGATACGAGTTCACGGGGCAACCCATGAAGTCGGAAGATGGTGTCGATAAAGACACAAGCACAGCCACTAGCCGTGATTGACTCGGGTACAGCCACAAGGTGTACCATTTTGCTGAATCTGTCAACAAATACGAGAATAGCCGTATTCCCGCGTGCGTCTTTGGGTAACCCGAAGACAAAATCCATTGAGATGGATTCCCAGCACTTAGCCGGAACCGGTAGGGGCTTTAAAGGTGCACGCAGTGAAGGACTTAACTTTACTCATTGACAGACTTCGCATGCGCGAACATACTTTCGCACAAACTGATACTGGCGGGGCCAGTAAAAGTCTCGACTCACCGTGAGATACGTTTTCCTCCCGGCCACGATGTCCTCCTATACGAGCATCGTGATACTCGAACATGATCCGCAAACGCAGATCAGTATCATCTGTAATGACAACACGTGGTGTGTCACCAGAAACGGCTGTATAATACAGTAAACCGTTACGAGTAGTGTATCGATCTGATGCAGATCGATACGCAGACGACAATCGTTTCAACGATTCTCGAGATGGTTGGGAGAGATGTGTCAACAACTTCACTATCTCACCATCTTGGGCGTATGCCCGCCTCACATCATCATACAACGTTGTAGATGGGACTGAGGACGTCATAACCGCTACAGTGACTGTCTCACTGTTGGGTTTCGCGACTGTTTCAAAGTCGGGACGACGTGAGAGTGCATCAGCGACGACATTAAGTCGTCCTGGTTTGTACTCGACCGTAAAGTTGTATTCTGCAAAGAATGACAACCACCGCGCCATTCGTTGTGAAAGGTGCGGGCTGTTCACTGCCGTGCGTAATGACGCATGGTCAGTGTAAACAATGAAGGGTCTATCTCCTAATAGATAGACTCTGAACTTCGCGAGTGCATAATTCATGGCAAGGAGTTCCTTGTCATGCACTGGATAGTTCCGCTCAGCTGGTTGCAGCTGACGCGACTGATAGCAGACGACGCGTTCAACGCCTTCAAGATCGTACTGCATTAATGCACAGCCGATTGCGAAATCGCTGGCATCACAGACCACATGAAATGGCCTGTCCTGATCGGCTATTGCTAGGACTGGGGATTGTATCAAGCTCTGCTTGATACCCTCAAAGGAGCGCTGACATTCAGCGTTCCATAACCACCTCTCGTTCTTTTTCAACAAACGAGAGAGGTGCACAGTCATCTCGGCGTAATTGCGTGAATACTTATGCAAATACGCCGCTAGCCCAAGGAATTTTCGAAGACCTTTGACATCAACCGGCACAGGCCAGTCGGTGATCGCCTTGATCTTTTCGGGTTCAGGACGTATACCGTTCTTACCAACGATGCACCCAAGAAGTGGTATTTCGCTTGCTGCAAATATACACTTCTTGAGGTTAGCATACAATTGATGCTTTCGCATGATTGTAAGAACCTGTCGGACGTGGTACCTGTGAACCTCAACGTCCGACTTTCCATCCATAGCCCGACTATGGATGTAAACGTCATCGAAATAACTCGGCGCAAATTCTCGTACTGGTCTCAACAGATGTGATACACATCTGTTGAACGTGGCAGGGGCATTACTAAGCCCTTGTGGCATTACTAGCCATTCCCAGAGCATGCCGCTAGGCGTGCTAACTGCGGTATAGGGTATATCCCGTTCCCGCATAAGGATTTGATAGAATCCATCCATCAAATCCATGGACGAAAAGATGGTACTCTTTGACATACCATCAATGATTACGTCCTTCCTCGGTATCGGCGTCTGAGCCGGTACCGTTGCAGCGTTCAATTTGTTGAACGCGTGCACTATCCGCCACCCTCCTGTTGCTTTTCGCACACAGAAGGTCGGAGAGCTATGTGGGGAAGTTGATTCCCTCACATGGCCCGCAGCTAAACGATCGGCAAAGAACTTGTCGAATGCAAGTACTTGTTCACGAGGCAGTGGCCACTGCTTCATGACACATTACTTCGAGCCTGGTTTAAGCTCGACCTCGTGTCGAATACCTTTATCCTTCGGTAATTCGCACGGAACAGTTTCAGGGAATACATCCTTGAATTCAACCAAATCTTCATAGAGAGGATTTGTCTTGAGCGATTCCCATGATTGGGAGTCATATCGCTCAATTCGTGTCTTTTCATCTAGGACACTCTCGTCCATAGATGAACTACTGAGAACTCTCTCGTTCTCAGTGAACACTGTTGCTGACCTTATGTCAGCTACACATTCGTCGTCAGCGACGAGTATGCAGATCTGCTTGACTTTGCCACTACGCAGATCACGCAAGAACCTTTTACGTTCGAGAGTTGGCAACTGAGTGATCTCCGAAGTCAACTTCGGAGGCGCAATCAGATCAAGTGTGTAATCGCCCACACTTGATCCATCATTGACCATGACATTCAATGTCTCCGTCATTTCCTGGGGACTTATTCCCTCAGGCTTCGAAGGACTTATTCCTTCGTCTTCCCGGGGACTTATTCCCGCGGGTTTCGGGGAACTTATTTCCGCCGTATTTGTAATCTTGGGAATTATTACCTTTACTTCCTCTAGCTGTGGTTGCGCAATTACAGCGAGATCCTCTACGAAAGACTCTCCAGTCGATCTAGGATTATCGTTTCGCTTAACCTGAGCGATCGATTGTTTCTCTTCTAGATGTTCCCCACTAGGGATACATCTTTGTCCCAGTCCACCCGAATTATTCGAGTGGTGGACCTTCGGCGCAGCCTGTGTTTCCTCACAGCCACCGGAAGCTTGATCCGAAGTGTAACTGTTATTACACTAAGGTTTCGTCCAGTCGTACTAACGACCGTACCACAAGTGTGGCCATCGCACTCACTCGTAGTACATCCACACGCTTGTGGACGCTCCAAAACGTTCATCAGATGGCCATCTGATGAACAAGCGGCAGGCATCGTTACTGTCCGATGTTGCCAGTTTACTCGTGGTTCGTACCTTCTGAGCCACGGTATTCCAAGGATGACATCAAATTTGTCATCCAAATCCAATACGATAAAGTCATCGTCATATTGGGTATCTTCTAGCGTATAGTGGATCTTCACTATACGCTTCATGACGGTTACGGATGCGCCTGTCGCAAGACGTACCGTCATCCTCGTAGGAGGTGTGTCACATTCACTGAACTTAAAGTGACCATCTTCTAGCGATTGGCGTCGCACAAAATTGTTGGACGCCCCACAATCGACTAGAGCTCGAAGGGACAACTTATTCGTCACTTCGAGTTTCAAGGTAATGAGTGAGACCTCATTACCTAGAGCAGCAACGCACAACGTCTGTGTGTTGGGAGCAACCTTCATCAAGAGACCTACAAATTCTCTTGACGTTGCTGGACCAGTAGGGTGCTCCGCACCTACTGATCCTGTCCATTTTTGACAATCCATCCTGTTGTTGCGTCTTTGCGCCAACAGCGGACCCGCGTCCCTGCCCCTTTCTCATGGGTGGACGGTCACTACGCCCAGTATCGCGAGACACTGGACGAGGGGCACTACACTCGTAAGCGTAGTGTCCTGTCTTTTGACATCTGTTGCATTTCTGCAACTTCTTGTAGCCTGTAGAGCGAGCCTTCTCGCTCTCTACATAACAAAGTTCCATCGGCTCTGGACCTCCGCTGTCATATCGTCTCGGTTGACGATATGATGTCGAGCTGGCGCGAGCCTGTCTCAGACTGAAGTCTTCCTGCTCCGCAATGGAAATGGTTTGTTCTAGTGAATCTAGTTCAATCCGGAACAGGTGAGTCTTGACGGGACCATCCGCAAGACCCTGCATGAACACCGAAACCAACGTGTGTTCATCCACCGGATTGGAACTTATACAGCTCGTGAGATGTCGTATGTGTTGAGCGTAAGCGTGCACATCACGCTTACCCTGCTTGAGCTTCAAGAGTTCGGTTCGAGCCCTGAACTCAGCTCTAGGCGGTTCAAACGTTTGTCTGAGCCGCGACTTGAAGACTTCCAACGACCCAAACGCATATGGGTCGTGCAACTTGAGCCCCAGTGCCCAAGTCTTGGCACGTCCTGCCAGATTTGACTGGGCAAATGCAACTTGCATATCCCCGTCGTCGATGCGACGCGCCCTTATGGCGTCATCCAATTCGACGAACCATCTCAAGAGGGAGTCCTCTTCGACCCCCCTATACTTGGAGATGTCAATCTTCAAGGTTTCGGGTCGACGCGAATGCATCGACCCACCAGCAGCAGCCTGCTGCTGTCTCAACAGTTCAAACTGTTGAGCACCCTGTTCTCTCAACAACTCTGCTTGTTGAGAACCTTGTTGGTGAAGCAAGGCTACTTTCTCGCGTTCAGCGTCAAGTTCATTTTGAATGAACTTGGCGATAGTAGCATGTTGGGCATCTCTATTGAGAGCCTCTAGCATGACGCTAACAGCATGGATGCCCATGGTCGAACCCATTCGTTCAACCGCATCCCATTCGACATCGCTCAAATGGGAGTAGCCGTCATGCGTAGCGTGAAAGCTTTGGTCATCTTCATCATCCAACATATTCATGTTGGATGTGAACGCGGTCCTTGGACGGACTAAAAGTGCTACCAGGTGTAACGGGGCACCCTGAAGCTTGTACTGGTGACATTACAAGCTACTTATTCTGATGACAGAATAAGGCGGTGCCTCGTAACTTCACGTACACTCGTACGTGTAGAGGAAGACGGTAAGAAGAAGCGAGTACTTGGTTAGAGTAAAAAGTAGAACTGTATTTATAATAGTTAATGTCTGCAATAAATCACTATTTATCTTCATCTAACTATGTCTAAATACAAGTGTGTAAATCAGTTATCTGCTCACCACTCATTGCGTGCGTCTGTCGTGGCGCGTCTTCGTTGGTTGATATAATGGCCTATATCAACCAACTAGGAACTACTTGTAAGTGCTACAGAATATTTGTCCTTATGACAATATTCTGAGAATATAACTCTTATAGTTATATTCTATTAATTTATAACAATTTATATTTCTTGTAAATTGTTATGTAACGAATCACCCCGTTACATCAGTTGCTGTGGTTTCTGCTTCGGCGTCCGCACAGAGACGTGCGGACGCGCTCTCGGCGGCCTTGCTCGCGCATCGCATGGGCTTGTTAACCATGCGATGAAATGTTGGAAAGTGGACTCGGACCAACAAGTGCAAACCCTGTCCCAAATGATTTGGGACGAGTATCCATTTAGTCAATCAGTCACTAAAGTGACTGATGGTTAAGGGGGGTTGATGTAACGGGGTGAATCGTTACATAACAATTTATAAGAAATTGTTGATGGAATATAACTATAAGAGCTATTTTCTCAGAATATTGTCATAAGGACAAATATTCTGTAGCACTTACGAGTAGTTCCTAATTGGTTGATATAGGCCATTATATCAACTAACGAAGACGCGCCACGACAGACGCACGCAATGAGTGGTGAGCAGATAGTTGATATGCACATATGTATTCAGACATAGTTAGATGAGGATAAATATTGATTTATTAACAGACATTCACTATGATAAATACAGTTCTACTTTTTTACTTAAACTAAGTACTCGCTTCTTCTTACCGTCTTCCTCTGCACGTACGAGTGTACGTGAAGTTCCGAGGCACCGCCTTATTCCGTCATCAGAATAAGTAGCTATAACTGTCACCAGTACAAGCTTCAGGGTGCCCCGTTACAATGACCCTCAATCGCTTAAATGTCTATCTGGGTACAAGTTCATCCTAACACGCGAGTCGATCCGACAAAACTTTCTTCACCAAAGGTACAACCTACGCGCCTACAAGGTTTCTATTGCATGAAATCATCTACTATGCTAGCAGCTTAGTCTTAGCATATAACAAAGCCGCGTGAACTGTACGTGTCCCTGTGAGCCTACCGAAATATTGCATACATTTGACATCATTTTGTGTATACGAACCTGGAGCCGTTCCTATTCAGCGAAATTATTTCAAAATATTGACAACAAGTTGACTCGGTGTCGTACGAAGTAGAGCAGTTACGGGTGATTGCAACAGATTGATGCTGACTAGATTTGGAGATGAGATAAAGTGTTATATGCTACAAGGAGAAGCCCGAGGTTTACGATATGCGACTCTAAAGTATTTTATAGATGCGATGATTACATATCTAACGAGCGTATTTCACAAATAGTTCGACAATCGATGATTTCTCCGCAGGGTTTCTGCTCAGAATAAATGTAAAAATGGAATGAAATGGGTCTGCGGTAGCGCGACAACGAAGTGTCGTACACGCTGCGTACAATAATGGCATGTGTATGGTCGCAACAATCTACGACAACGAATTGCTTGCACTGTATCGGCTATTGAACTTACTGCTAGTCCAAACACACTTGTAGAAAATTGATATCGAGCACCTGTTCTACCATTCAATCGAGCTTCTGAATGAAGGTATACGTGATGGCGCACTTGTAAGTTTGGCACATAGCTACTTTCTTGCAGCGTTATGCCGTCGGGATGGAATCTTGACCGGGCAAGTTGTAGCTATGGCGTCGACGATATTGAGAGGTGCTTGAGTCGATATATTAGACGACGTTGCGTGCAGTGCTAGTCCAAAGAGATGGATCGATTCTAGTATCCGAAAAGCCCAAACTTAGTTGCATCACGATAGAAACCTGGAGCTTTGTAAGCGGACATCGCAATTTGCAGATAAAGGATCTTCAATCGAAAGAGACGGGATGTAGATACAATGAAACCTTAACGAGGCTATTGAAGATGTTGGATATCTAACTCATTTCGGGGAAGTAGTAAGCTGATCCTATTGCCCGAGAATCGGAATCGTGGCGTTGCTAGTCGATAACACGAGCCACAGAGCTTGACAATCGCTACACGACGAGTGAACTCCGCTGTTGCGATTGCACAGTGTCGTGTCACTAAATCTCTGCCAGGTAAGATCCGTTGCACTGTGGCGCCATTCCAAGCGCGTTCTGGCTGTTCTGTAACGGCCGGTAGGATGTATCGAAGTGTTTCTTTGTTTTGACGTGACGCGAGTGTGAGCAATCGGGAGCAACTCATCTGAACCTCTCGTCTTCACCGGTGTTTATAGCGTATCGGTAGTGCACCCCTCGGTGGCGGGATGTCTTGCGTGATCCTTCACCGGACAGGTAACGGCATCCGCTGGGTCACTCACCGAGTTCAGGGGTGCTTCCGGATGTCGAACTGGAGTTGGTCCGCTTCAACAGCGGATTCATAATCGGGCTTTTGTTTTCGCAGCACATCCGCGACTGCACCGGTTCCCATGGTGTCTCAACCCAACCATCAATAACAAGCACGCCATCAAGGCGTGACAACGACAACCTTTTCTCCAAGCTAGATGGTAGTCATACCCAGCGCTGACGGACATGGTTCAACGTCTTTGAAAGCGAATTAACGCGGCTGAGGGGCGGGATACCCGCTTCCAACAGCTTCCGACACAGCTCTGGGCGCACAGACACGCCTCGACAGACTACCAGGTCTGGGTCTGCTACCGGATCGCTGCCCATCAGCTAAATTTATACTACCCGGGCCGAGCACAAGACTCATCATGCACACAATATATGTGGCTTGTCGAGGACAGCATGAAGGGATTCTTCGCCACCCTGTGGGCAAAGCGGAACCGCTGGGTGCACAATCTCGAGGTAACAACTGCCAACCAAGCGCAATCCGAACTACGACAAACACTGCTTCGACAGCTACAAGCTGTAGCGGTCAGGGAACACCAATTCAACCGCGACGGGGACGACTGAGTCTTTATCCGGCTAGCGGCAGAACTCTTTTTCCGCGACCGTTTACTCAGTATGACCCCTGACGGCAGCTCACACTACCGGTAGGAAAGCTCGAGCGGCTAGAGACTTTTCAGCAATCCTGTGAACCGTAAAGGTGATACGACAGCCTGTTACGCTCTCATAGCGGATCAATAGTACCAAGCAGCCAGGTCCCACAACTTATAAAACTCGCGTAGGACAACGTGTCCCCAGCTTCAACTACTGCTGCAAAGACACGTCTGTTTGTATGTCCATGGACTTTGCCACTATGTGTGCGACTAGAGATAGATCCGTAAAGATAAGGCGCTTGCTCGCCTGTTCCTTGAAGGTGGCACGGCCTCCTCTCGGCCGAATGTGAAACTGTACGCGCTGGAACATGACGACTGCTCGACTGCTTACCCGAAGATCGACGCGACACCCCTGGAACGTTCTGTATACGAAGTGGTACCGAGACATGCGCAAATTATCGTGTCGCCATAGGTCTGTGTCGTGCTGCAACTAGAAGTAGCAGTTGAGTCAGTTTAGATGTGTTACGCGCTTGATATAGTGGTCTGAGGAGTTGAAGTAGGACGTCGCAACGTACGATTGCACCCGATCGTGATACTTTCGAGTCCACCTGGCAACGTTTCAAACGGTCTAGTAGCTGCTGCCACCCTCGAGCAGTTCCACTTGTTATCATCGCTGATCACATTGTCTGTGAGACGCGTCGCTTCGCAAGTGGAAGAGCTGTCTATAGTATCAATTCGACCAAAGACCTTTTCGTCTCTACGATGTCACGCCGGACACGTCCTCGATTCGATCGAGATGCTGCTGCAATAACCATAGCACTAGCGCTTGCAACCGTCACCTCGTCATTCGAGTTGCTGCGTATCCCGCTCGAGAATTTCGACCAGATGCAGTTCATCGGTTCTATTGACGTGGGCTCCCCACCGCAGCGCTTTCGGGTTATTTTCGATACTGGATCGAGCGATCTTTGGCTACCTGAGACCAACTGCATCGCCTGTGCCGGCTCAAGCCGCTACCATGCAGCCGCTTCTCACTCGCATGAAGCACTCAATGAATCCTTTCGACTTGCGTACGGCAGTGGAAATGCTTCCGGGTACGTCATGCGTGAGCAGCTCTCGCTACTGGGAAGCGATACTGCCAGCAAAAGCTTGACCTTGTCGAGAGTACGCATGGGCAGCGCGGGCAAGACGACCGAGAGACTGCAGCACTTTAAGGCCGACGGTATTGTCGGGCTCGGACTTGAAGCACTGGCGCAGATCACGAAGCCTAGTCTGCTCAATTTAGACCCTAGACTCAAGCTCTTCTCCATTTACATCAACCCGATGCCTGGCATGCTACCGTCGGCACAGCTGATCGTTGGTGGGGTAGACGATACGCTCCCAATTGCTCATTTGCCGCAGAGTAGCAGGTTACAAGTCACGTGGCACCACTTTCCATTGGTGAGGTATCCGTCCACCCAAAGAGCTCACGGGTTCTGGTCCGTTCAACTGCATCAGTTTGCAGTCGAGAGCTTGGGTTCATCAGTTGATGCGATCTCAATGCATCGGTCAAGCAGGACGAGAGAGGAGGTTGTAGTGATCTCAGCTGCCGTGGCGATTGTGGACTCGGGCACCTCATTGATCTTGCTCCCGCGACGTGCCTATGAGGCAACTATCGCACAGATTCAACAGCATCTGCGTGAGCAGCATGACCGCGAGCTCTGTACTGACCCGCGGGCAGTGAGCAGCTGCTCTTGTGTGGGCTGCACAGCGGAGATGTTTCCAGCACTTCGGTTCACTTTTGTAGTGGAAGGAGCTTCGAGCGAAAAGGAGCCGAAGAGCCAGACGCTGGCACTGCAAGGAACGGACTACGTCCGCTGCGAAGACTTGGTCTGTACCCCACAGCTGGGCGAGCATGAGCTGTCCACAGCTACAGAGAGCAAGGAGCAAGCACCATCTTCGGCATCGACCGTGGTCTCCAACGTTTTACAGGAGGACGAGCAGGAGCAAGTCGTGGTGCTAGGTGCAGCGTTCCTGCGCGCTTACTACGTGCAGTTCAACGCGGTTCGAGAGACAGTTGGGTTTGCCTGTGTCGAGACGCCGTCTTCCAGTATTGAAGGCGCTACAAGTGTTTGCTCGGGAGGTTGGGCACCCAAGCTACAGTTCCGCTCGACACGGTTTGCAAATGCAGAGATCTCATGGTGGCGACCTGGCAGCGTCCTCTGGTATCAAATGTACCTGGGAATTGGCGTGCTGCTATTCATTGCAGCGTTTGCTCTGCTGTGGCTCACCTTCACAGTGTCTTCATGTGATCTGGGGAAGACGCTGGACTATTTTCATGCGTGGTCCAGTAGCTACAGTCGATTACAGGAGCAGCAAATGGTAAGGTCGGCACTCGTTTCGAGTTTCTGTGGCTGCCACCAAACACAAGTGCTGGAAAGCGGATTAGCAGATGATGATGGATGCGGTTGTATCGATGTAAACAACAATGTATCGGAGACACTCAACTTAGAGTCCAAGACACTGCGTACGACCCCTGTACCGACGTCACGCCGGACGAGTCTGAGCATCAACGTGGACACAGGGAGCTAGAGACAGGAGCCAGGGAGGCATATGAGAGAGAGAAGACTGAGTATTTAACGTCCTTACTGCTTGCGAGATTTCTGAACTGTCCTATGTCAGGTCAGCAACACCAGTGTTTATGACTGAGCTTGTTGATTGTGCGTGACGCCCCACTTCGTGTGGCTATTCTCTCCTGTAATTGCCCAGGAGCCCTACGCTTTCTGCTTTTGTGCGAACTTCGTCTCCTTCTAGCTCACATCCGCAAATGTCTATGACTCCTTCCTCGAATGGGTTCATGACCAGTACCTTCCATTGTGAACTCTTTGTCCTGAACTACTGCTTCATCGCGTTAGAACCCGCAACGTTGTGGTGCATCGATTTGGCATCTCCCAAAGTCTCTCCTACACCTTATTTGTATCTTGGTATCGTCTCCCAAAGGCTCGATGTAGCCGTCGGAAAGCTCCGGAGACAATTGTGGTGGTATTTGGCTGTACAATGTTTTTGGCATTGGCCTGCATCTATCCCCTAGATACCTGTGTTAGCCTACCCATTGGATGATCACAGCATCAAAGAGGCTCGCGCGCACGAACTGACAACGTCAAGTCGACATACAAACCCAGACTTGATGGTTCTGTGACCAAGGATGCAGTAGCTCTAGGCTCGTGGTTTGAGTTTGTTGTAACACTGCACATTGTTCCACATCAAAGGTGTTTTAGCAAATTCCCCGCCACGTCCTTCAATAACATCCCTCTCGCCCGCCAGTGTGGTTGATGTTGAAGCTATAGAGCACATGTTGATTTCAAATAAAGTCCTGAAAGTTCTTGGGAGACCCCTGGACACCGCAGTGAGCCATCTACACCAGAACCAATCCCTGTTGTTGGTAAAGGAGAACTGCTGTATGTTGAGCCTCAACTGGAACAGGGCGTGCTTCATCCCTCTATCAGCCCGTGCGACGATAACAACAGCTGGAATTCTGTAAATAAAACAAAAGTACTGAAGTAGGAACAACTCCTTTTAGCAAAGCATCTCTTCGAAATAAATGCCCTTGTCACTTTTGCAGCTCAAAAAGTTGTGCTCATAATAACACTAGCGACTTAGAAACCGACCCATTTAATTCGCAGTCTCCATAATTCCCAGTCTCCAACATGGCTACAGTCAGTTTCTAACGGGCGCTACCGTCGGGATGGAGCTGCTCAATAAGATCTGTCTCTTCGGCGCGCGCCACTGCTTCCACACGCAGTCCGCCGAGGCTGGCGCGTCCTACTGCTACGCTGCTGTTCTAGCATACACCGTGTCCGTGAGCATCCAGCGCGCGCGTCTGGGCGAGCACGGCCACGCGACGCACTTGCTGCCAGTCAAGCGCATGCGCTGGTTCCCGACGTTTCTAAGTTTTGCGTACTTTAGCCGCATTGCGTGGCTCGTACTTAGCAACATGCACATGTTTCAATGGGTCGAAGGCCCGACCCCGCCGTTTCGTTTCGAACATATGGTGTTCGTCACGCCACTTTTGCCGACTGATATTGACATTTACGTCTTGGGCGTCACGTCTTTTGGCAAATTAGCGACTTTGCTCTATTTTTCCGCATTTACGCTCTTGCTGCGGTTCTGGGAAGAAGTGCGTGTCCAAGCCCAGCGAGCTGAGAAACCGCTCGCCAGAGTGGCAGCCAATGAGTCGGTCATTGCCGAGTACACGCGTGGAGCTGGAGCTCAGCGCTCTGGTCGGTCGCGGAAGCTTTTTCTCGTTGCCAACGTGTGGATTTATCTTGTCGAGTGCGCTCTATTGGTCCTCAAGACCCTCTTTCCAAGCCAGAAGATGGTGCTCTCGGAGATTGACTATGGCTTTGTGGCCCTGTGTTTCTTCTTGCTGGCAGTGATGCTCGCTAGATGTGCCCTGCAGCTACGCACGGTCTTGCGCAAGATCGAGTTCTCTGTCCTGGCTGCTACCATTGCTACAAGACTGTCGCTCATTGGCATTGTGACGTCGCTACTGTTTTTCTACCGCAGTTTGCTCCTGCTCTTTTCCATGCCGGCTATCGACGTCTTTGACCCGCATGTGGCCAATCCGTGGCTGTTTTACGCCATTCCGGAGCTCATCCCAGGAGCATTGGTCATCTACATGATGAACGTCAAGCGACGACAACAGCTAACTCCACCGGCGTGGGGGATCACCAAGGCAGACGAGCAAACGCCGCTACTGCAGGAACTACAAAGACTGTCAGACGATTTACCGCAGTTCCGTGGTCAGGAACTGCACATATGATTATCACGGGGGCGGGAGGAAAATCGATGGAATGGGTGAACGATGATCGAAAGCACACAGCACACGTGACTCATGGCCAACCGGACTTTACTACTTTAAGCTGCAGTAGTAACTTGGATACGTCCGTCTACTCAGTCGCCATATTGTGCGGCTTGTTCCAGATCCACTTGTTGCCCGAGAGCTTGACACCCTCTTCGACGGGACAGCCTGCGTGTAGACTCATCGGGTCGTTCTCACCATTCGGCAGCATGCTGTAAAACACGATCACCTTGCCCTTCTTCGGGGCAACCTTCAAGCCTTGGGTACAGCCCTTGTTGGACGGAGGATATGGCAAACCACCGGCACGGGCGAAGTTTGTGTGTCCGCCCTTGGCGACGTCCGACATGTACCAGAAGACCGTGATCATGCGGTTTTTGTAACCATACTCGATCTCCTCGAGCATATCGGGAGAATTTTGGTAGTGGTCCGCCGCAAAGTAGTCCATGTGCTGGCCATAGTGCTGCGTCGGCTCGTAACGCAGCACTTGGACACTCTCCTGGTGGCTCACAGGCACCTTGACAAGATCCACCGTGCGTTTGTCGATGCCTTGCACCACAGGGTGAGCGGATGAGTCCAACCAATACGTCGTGCTCGTGCGCCAAGTTGTGGCTGGTTTGTTTTCGTCTCCGTCCTTTAACGCCACGCTCGACGGTGCCAAATGCGGCAGGGACAACTCGAGGATGACGTCAATCTCGTTGTCCTGGAGAAATTCCTCGACGCTGAACACGAGTGGTGTCATGCTTATCGTCTCGAGTACCAGATCGCCACGACCAAAAGCGTTCTCCACGACCGCTACAAAAACACACGGCCATCAAGCGTTAGCGCGAGACGACATTTTTGCGTAGCTATGTGACGACTGAACGGATACGCACCTTTGTGTCCGATGCGAATCCCTGGCCAGATGAACTGACCACCCTCGAAGACAAACAAGACCTGATGATCCTGCAACAGCGTCACGTTCCTCTCGAGTCGAACGCCGTCCGGCGTAAAGTACGCAATGGGCTGCTGGTACTTTCGAGCGAGCTCGTCACACGGCTTTGGAATCTCGAGCAACTCGTCTTCGACCGTGTGGGAAAACGACTCCCAGTCAAGTGGCGTCTCCACTGACTCGTTGGCAAAGTTCCCGTTCTTGAACCCCGTCACTTTCAGCCTGTCGGACAACCACATGGAAAAATCAACAAAGTCAACAGCTCTCTCCGCATTTTGAGCCGTCTCAATGTCGGCTCCACTCAACGCACGTGTCACTTGTCGTCGGCTTGAGGCAAAGCACGTGGAACCCCTTGACTGGCATCACATCCGTCAAATACTGATGGGCGTCCACGCAGTCGGTTGCAGCTGAGGAGGTTGCAAAGATGTTGCGAATTCCGTCCCAGAGAGTTGGCGTCCGCAAGAACGTGGCCACTGCAATCGTCATCAGAGCCACGATGAGCCATGAGCTGTGGCGAAAAGAGAAGTAGGTCCGTCGTCCCTGGGGAAGCGGTGGCGGTGGGCTAGACGGCATCGAAGAGGAGACGTCCGAAGGGGATCCGTTACAAAGTATCAGTAAATCGTAGGACTGACGTGGACAAAATGTGTGCGTGCAAACGGGACACGACGTCAGTCCTGCCTGACGCACGTACTTGACCACTGTCGTACCTGATCGTGTTTTTCTCAGGATAAGGTCAATCGAGCTTGTTCGTGCATCATTAGCTGAGCCGCATTTGCATCGCGAGCAGCTTTGCCTTATACAGGGTAGCAGTCCCTTAGACGCATTCGACCTTGCTGGTGACAAGCTAGTGATCAATTTTCTGAATAAAAGACGCATCCGGGTAATCGCTATGCCGAACACATCGCTCGGTCACGACGTCGATACACTTCCGATCTTGTCATCCCATGCGTGCATGACAATGATCGAGGTACAGACTGACAATGGATTCGACCTCACTGCAGCGAGCTCGGAAGCTTGTCATGAGTCTGCGCGAGCAACACACCGTGGTGACCCCTACCATCCGTCCTGTCACCTACGCCAACCCACTGGCGCCTTTCTTCACTTCCGTGTCTGACCCATGTCCCACTTGTCCCAACTGTCGCGTTGACAGCATCACGACGCTGCACCGCAACTTTCCTTATGGTTGAGGCTGAGCGTGAGAAATCTTGACACTGTCGACGTCTTCTTCTTCTTCTTTCTTCCACACGCAAGAGATCATACGACACGCAGGCACAAACTCTGGCACAGCTGCACGCCTCAACGAGCAGGACAATGCGCCTCCATTCCATTGGTGTGACACCGTAAGAAATCGAGTGACAAAATGCAAGCCACGAGAAGCTTGTACCGCACAGAGGAACACTGTTGCTCATGTGGTGGAGAAGCAGTCGACCGCACGAGGTTCCGCTCTCGTCGTCAAGTGACTCGTCCGACTGCGCTTCAGACACGAACCAGAGCTTCTCGACTGGATGCACGTACTCTGATAGTATCTTGACCCTCTCTCTCTCTCTCGCAAAAATTCGCTCGATAACAACTCAAGGGGTCGGTCGCAACGTTGACGCGCTACATCATGCTCATTTCAAACATGAGGTCAGACGAGCGGCCGCTGAGCCGGCCATTACCACAAGTAAACCAAAGGCACGAGGCAACTTTGTCGAATGACTCGAATGGTTCAGACGTGTGGACGCAAGCGTCTTTTCCTCCTCTCTTCAGCTGATCCATCGCTTGACACGTTCGTTCCGGGACGATCGATTGCAAGAAGGTCTCCACGTCGCTTTTGCCGATACATCGACCGAGGCACAAACTGCAACCTGCCGCTAATCTCGTTTTCGTCTTCGCTTCTTCTGCTTTTTCCTTCTCCTTCTTCTTGGCAACGTTCCAAAGCAGCAGCTGCCTCTTCATCGAGCCTTTCACCGCTTGTTCACGGGCGACTTGGTCCCTCGCGTCGTTTCGACGGGACGACAAGAAGAAAAAAAGAAGCCAGAGAAACTCCCTGTTTCGTGAAAATACGGCCCAGTGCCAGTTGTTCAACTACCGCGCGTGTCATTGAGACCTCTGAAACTCGATCTTCTGCCGAACCACATGGTCTCCCATCCCACGGCCCTGCCAGCCAAGTCTCCATTGCACGGTCCGACTCGCAAAACGCGGTGGATAGGTCAGTTTTTGGGGCCAGGTCCGCTCCTCCGTCTATCGGTCTGCCTCTCGATCTCCGTCCCATTGTAACAAAGCGGGGAGCGCGATCGAGGGTGTGCGACTCTCTATTTGCGTGTGGACCTTAGCCGGCCGGCGTCCCCATTCCCTAACTGCGCCTCACACGCGGCCGACCGATTGCCCGAGCTCTCGTCATGAATGGCTCGATCACAGCAAGGCAGCCACGGCGTTCCGAGGCGACGAGGCGCATCCGTCGACTGCCCTTGTTGTTGTTACTGTACAGCGTCGCGACGTCACACGTGGCGGCCGAGTCCTGTGTGTACGCCAGCACATTAGTAGCCGACGCTTCGGATGCAACCGCTATTGTCTACGACGCGGCGTGCAACCCGCGGAGCTTTCAAGTGGTCGTGAGCTCGACTGTGGAGCGGAGTCTGAACCTCTCGAACTTGGACGTCGTGGCGGTGCAGAGCTACCCGCGAGTGTACCAATTGTACGTCTCCACTGAATGGTGGGGAAGGAATGGAGAAGACTGTGGGCACTGACGCAATGACCTCTTGGGTGGGTGTGTCCGTGTGTGTTTGTTTGTGATCAGGCTGTTGAACAACAATGAACTCGAGACGTTCGAGGCCACGGACTCGGACAATGACATGAAAGACTTGTACGAAAGACTGGACCGTGATGCTGTGAAGGGGTTTAGAATGGGACTGAGCTGGAGTGTCGTGTGGTTGTTCTGAACTGTTTCGTGCAGACAATTGTCGAGTAACTTGATCACGGACTTGTCGAGCTCTCGCTTTCCTCAACGTCTCAGTTACTTGGACTTGAGCGAGAACTCCATCACGACGCTGTCGTCGGCCACGCCCTGGCCCGAGTCGGGTGATTTGCAGACGCTTCTGCTGCATGGTAACTCGCTCAAGTCGGTGGCGGCCGACACGTTTATGAAATTCGGAGCTCTGCGGTCTCTGTAAGTTGACGATGGAGCAATTGCAGCGACAACTTATGTGTGGACTTGCACTCACGATGGATTTGTGGCTCCGTCTTGTAGATCACTGTCGAGCACAGGCATCTCGAATCTCGACGACCTCATGCTGCCGGTGTCTCTGCGTACACTCAACGCCAGCAAGAACTCGTTCACGAGCGCTTCAACTAGCTTTGAAAACCTCCCAACGGCTCTCCAGTACCTGTGCGTCCAGCTAGAGTGGTGAAGGACGCTGTGACTCGCATCTTGTACTGATCGTGACGTGACTTTTGTGTGCAGAGACTTGAGCAACAACCTGCTCACGGTGTTCCCCGCTGTCGTGTCGTCTCTCACGACGCTCGTCGAGCTGTGAGTGTCTCCATTTGCTGTAGCTGAATCTCGGTACAGCTTCTGACGAGCGCTTTTTTCGTATGCAGGAACCTCGAGGGTAATGGAATCAAGAAGGTCAGCGGCGTGACATTTGCGTCGACGCTCCGCAAGATATCGTTGAGCGATAACCCGCTGTCCACCATCGAGATCTGCCGGTCAGACGTGATCGTGTTCGAGAGCCTCACTGAATTGACTGCACCTCCGTCCGTGTCAAGCACATGCTCCAACTCCTCGGCAACAAGCATGGACATCCACGGCGTCACTTTCTGCGTTTTCGAAGACGAGGTTTGCATCAGTGCATCTGCCACAGACTCGAAGTCCGGGAGCTCAGCAGCGGCTGTTATCCCCGATACCCCCTCCGGATCAAGCGACGGAACGTCATCGAGCACGAGCTCGGACTCGATCTTTTCCGCCGGATCGATCGGCATCATTGGCGGCACGTTCTTCCTCGTCGGCATTTTGTTGAGTGCTCTAGCGTTTGGTCTTGTCTGGAAGAAGCGAAGAGATAATGACAGCAGTCCTACTCGATGTCCTGCTTTGAAGATAAACCGCGACCGTCGGTTAGGAAGCAGTGGCGGCAACTTTGTCGTGTTCACAGGCAGTGGACGCACGAGTCGTGTGAATCGGATCATTGTCAACGACAATTACCGCGACAGCAAGAACGAGAGCACGAGTACGTTTGGAAGTACTGGCATTCGTACACCTGGCGAAGCAGCGTGGACGATCTACGAGAGCCCTTTGGACAAGTACAACCCCGTTGCTCTCCTCGAGCCGAGTCCGAATGGGGACAAGAACTTTCTTGGTGCGAGCACTGTCTCGCTTCAAGCCCGTAGTAAGCTCAAGATCAAAGTTGATCTGGACGATCTGCTCGTGTACGAGATCCCACCGGAGGAGATCCAGATGCGCCGTGCGTTGTGCATGGCCTCGTCCAAGATGAGCAGCAAAGCAGCGTTAGCATTGAGCAGCGTGGGCGTGGGCAGCGCTCGGAAGAAGGTGGATTCGGCCTTGTTTCTTGCTGAGTACCAGGGCTACAAGGTGGTGATCCATGCGCTCGTACGCAGCAAGAAGCAGCTCGAGAAGCGCTTCATCGAGCAGATTCGACTTGCAGCTTCACTTGATCACGCGTCGATTGTGCACTTTATCGGCGTGACCACTGGCTGCAGCACCACGGCAAGTCGTCGACGGGGCAGCAGTGCAGCAATGTCTCGAGCACCGTACGCTAGCTATGGTCCAGCTAATACCGTGGACGAAAGCAGGGGAAGCCGCACGACAACGAGTCGCTACCCGAACATGGGCGCGCCATCCTGGCACCTTGGCGTCGTGTTTGAGTACATGCAGCACGGCTCTCTTGCCAGCATGTTCGAGGCCGAGCGATGTCGACGCGAAGGCAAGGGGTACTACCCGAAGAGCAGCGTTGCGGCAGCCATCGGTAGCGGCAGTGGCAACATCTTTAGCTGGTACCCGACGTTTGCCAACTCGAACGCGAGCGTGAACGCGAACCCGAACGCCGACTGGCGATGCAAACTGTCGATTGCTCTCGATGTCGCCATGGGTCTTGTCTATCTCCATGCGAATTACCACGCACATGGTCGCGTGCGCGCTCGAAAGGTGCTGGTCAACGAGCAAGGCGAGGCCAAGCTGAGTGCAATGGACGTCCTACTGCCTTCGGACTTGGCATCGAGTAAAGACGACGCGTACGGCAAAGTGGACGATTTCCGTGGCTCGCTGCGTGACAGTGCTCGATGGACCGTGCAGAAGATCACTGGACTCCGATCCACGCGGTCGTCGAGAGCGCAGAGGCGCCAAGCGTCTGGCAACCGAAGTCGTTGCGCGAACAACAGCGGCGAGAGCGATGCTAGTGGAGCGAGCGGGATCAGCAGCGTCACGCTCGACGACAACAACAGTCGAAGTGGCGAGAACCCGGCGCTCGCTGAGGGGTTGAACGACCTCAATGAGAGCTCGCTCAAGTCGAGCGGCATTGGGTCGTCCATCGTGGCTGCTCAGCGGGAGGACGTGTACGCTTTCGGCACCTTCTTGTGGGAGCTCGACACGATGATTGCGGTCGAGGAGGACCTAGCCAGCTCGAGGATGCCTGCTGGCCACGGTGGCAACCCGCACTTGCTCACGTTCTCGGCAGACTGTCCGTCGGAGCTGCAGGAGCTGGCTCGTCAGTGCTGGCACGAGGTGCCGAGTGAGCGGCCGGACGCGATCGACGTGCAGGAGGAGCTCGTGCGCGTGCTGGAAGGCCGCTTGACAACGACGAACCACGTGCCGCTCAACTGGACGCGCCCGAGCTACTTCAGCTCGACCAGCGCCATCAGCAGTTTGTCCAGTTCCGACCTGTCGTCGAATCTGTCGTCGCTCCCGAGCTCGTGCTCGGCTATGGCCGTGTCCGTGGTCGATCCCCGCTCCGGCCGCATGGCAAAGTGAGGAGCCGCCGGTCCTGTTCTCTCTTGTATTTATTCGCTCGCATTGAGAAGAGCACAATTTTGTCAGCCCAAGAAGAACCCTGTTGCATGCGTCCTGTCCGTCCTAACCGTCCGTCCATCCGTCTCCGGCCGTCTGAATGGACCCGTTGTCACTTGAGACGCCAACGTCGCACTTGTTCCAGTGGAGACTGACTCTGCAAACAGTAGCAGTAGCTTATTGTCCACCGTCGATCCTAGTCAGATGAACGAATGGACGGAAGGAGGCGGCGGGGATTGTCAACGACGTTGCTCCTGCACTTGAAGTGGAGCTCACCATGTGCCTCCTGTCGGTCGTCGCGCCACGTTCGACTGGATCATGTCGCTCTGGTCACCGGCTGATGCGAAGCAAACAGCCGCAATCCGACGGAGGAACGAACGTCATGTCCGCCGACGCTCTCATGTGCGCAACTCTCGCGGCTAGAGAGTCCAGACTGGACACCGAGGTGGTGCTGCCACCTCAAGGTGTTCGATCAGGACAGGACAGGACAGGCCAGGCCAGGAGGACGGACGCTTTGGGGCGGACCGAAGCGAACCCGACCGAACTCGCAGTCGTGATCAACCTGTGAGCTGGTCACACGCAACTCGATCGAGCATCCTGCGATGTGCACGTGGGTGCGCGACCCTCTCCGTCCGAGAGTGGAAAGCCCTTCCGGCATTGCCGACTTGGCAGCCACAGACAGACCCGTCCCCATGGACTTCAAAGCCAATGCGTCGTATCCCATGACCCACCTCGTCCCTCCCTCGCTCCCTGACTCACTCTAATCCATCCGCCTCCTTCTCAACCACCTTCGAACGTCCGCGCCGAGTCGCGGACCCTCTCAAAACCGCACGACGACACGGCGAGCATAGCCCACGCAGCAGCTACCATCTGGCACGCGCTTCACTCCTCATCTCCTGCTCGTCTCTGTGCGTCTCTCGACAGAAAATTTACGTCGCGGGGAGTGAGAGAGAGACCTCTTGAGCCTCCCGTCCGTCCATTTGTCCCTCCGCCCTTATCCCAGTCACCCGACCACGCCATTGCTCAGCTCACTTGGGGTGGACACTCGATCCCCCGGTATTCCAGAGACCCACCACCTCGCTCCATCTCCATCTCCTCCTTTGGTCGGTAGCGCCGCCGAAACGCCTCGACGACGTTGCGGCCCATGCGACGCGGAGACTACGCGGGGGCAGGTCCCGTGCTGACCCAAAAGGGCGCCGTCTCAGCCGGGCACAGCGCGGCCACGACGCCCCGGTCGGCCGCGCCCTCGGGCTCGCAGCGCTCCCTCTCCACCGGCGCGCCCAGCACCATCCTCATCAACCTCGACGGTACGTCCGGCCGTCCGTCGCCGCACCTCTTACCTCGACTAGACAACGAACTAGAGAGCTAACTACCGCGTGTCTCGGTGCTTGTCTCCCTCTCGTGTCCCCTGCAGTGCTGATCCATCGGGCCAACATCGGCCGCGACATCAGTCCGGACGACGACGACCTCATCGTGCTCTTCCGACGCAACAGCAAGGAGGTCACGTCCGATCCCGCGCACTGGAGCGCCGAGCACAGCGCCGTGTGGAACCAGCACGTGGACATCCAGACGTCGCTCTTGCGGCAGAAAAAACCTCCGCAGGGAGGCAGCGCGACAGCCGCCGAGTTCCTCAAGAAAGAGTACGAGATCGTGCTCGTTGCGGTGCGTCCCGTTCCTTGACCGTGCTCCCTGTAGTCGCCATGTTGACCCACTCACTCTGTCGTCGTCCTCCTCCTCCTCCTCTTGTCGGTTGCAGCTGCCGAGTCATTCGGCCGTCGCGCTCTTCTCCGTGGACTTTGCCACGCTCGTGCAGCTTCACGCGTCGCCCCACGACCGGCGCAAGTTCTTTCGCGTGTCGCCGCTCAAGTGTCGGGACTTGGCGGCCACGCTCGAGTTCGAGATCACGTGGGACCTCGTGAGCTCTTCCGACGGTTCGCCTGCCGCCCCAACAACGACGTCAACAACGACGACGACGACGATGCTCCATGGCGCTGCAGCTACTGGAGGAACGGGCCTGCCGCCGTCGTCCACTTTGCTGCCGATGAAGAGCGGGAACACGCCCAGGGCGCAGACGCCGCGAGAGCGGAACCGGTCGCGGCGCGCTCCCAACGAGACGCCGTCCGTGCCGACGCGACGCACGACGGCCAGTCTGAGCTCGGCCGGCAGCGAGAACGACGGATCGGAAGAATCAGCGGCAGCGGCGGCGGCGCTCAATTGCAGCAACTGTCGGTCGGCCAAGCGCCGACTGGACCGCAAAGAGGTGCAAGTGCTGCAGCTCGAGTCGTTCTTGAAAGAGTCGCAGAAGCGCATTGACGCCTTGTGCGCGGAAAACGAAGAGCTCATTGTCCGGGAGAAGGCCGAGACGCGGAACGCCGCGCAACAGCGGGCGCTCAATCTGCGTCTCTTGCAGGAGCTCGAGACGGCGGTGCTGCTGTGCAACGACCAGATGCAGGTCCAGGACACGACGTTGCTGCCACAGGTGGAGCTGGTTGAGCGCGTCAAGAGGTTCCACGAAGAAGTCGATCCGTTGCGAGGTCACGAGAGCTTGCCGTCTTCGGAAGCGTCTCATGAGTTGCAGCCCTCCTTTGACTTTCGAGCGGAGACCGAAGCAGCATTGCAGCGCAACCAGCGACTGCAGGAGCAATTGGAGTTCTTGGGCCGCTCAATGGACTACGACAGCGAGGGAGTAGACGGCGGGACTCGTCCCCATCGTGCAGCGACGGACGCATCAGGCACGACTATCTCGTCGGTCCGTAGCGGGAGCGTCACGGTGGACTGCACGGAACGACCGATTGCTCTCACGATGACACAGCAGCTCAATAACCTCGAGCGTGAGAACTTCAAGCTACGGGCTGAGCTTGAGGGTGCACTGGCAAACGTCGCGAGTGCACTGAAGAAGCACTCTGGGGGCTATCCTTCAGGCTTCACATCCGGTCCATCACTGCAAGCGGAGATCTCTGAGACGACGAGCTCGTCGAGTCGCGAAGACATTGAGGAGACTGAAAACGATGATGCGGCACTGCTCACTCGGATTCGCGAGCAGCACGAGGTTGAAGCTGGACGCATTGTCGCCCTTGAGTCGGAACTGAGCAAGGCAAAGGAGGACGTTGACGAGCTAAAGCGACAGCTCGAATCTGCTCAGAATGGACGCTCGCTGAAGACAGACCAGGAGCAGCCGACACAGGCGCCCGGCTTCTTGGACAAGATTTATGCTGATGTTGGCAAGGCCAAATTGGCGCTCGAGGACCGTGTCAAGCAGCTGGACGAGATGTTGGCTAGTGCTACCGAGGAGAACGGTCGTCTGCGCAATCGGATTGAGGAGTTGGAAGAGCAAAAGAGTGGCTGCGATGACCAAGTGATATCGGCAGAGACGAAGATAAGCATGATGGAGCTCGAAAGGTTACTGGAGGTGCGGGATAAGGAGCTCCAGGCGAGCAAAGTAGAGCTCGCAGCGCTAAAGACACAGCTTGAAGACGCTGCAGACCGTGCTCGTGCGAGTAAGAGTGTAACTACAGAGCTGGAGAGTGAGCTGGCAGGCGTGCGATTATCCTTGAAGATGGCACGGGAATCAGTCGTGCAGCTTGAGAACCAGTTGGCCGTGATGTCATGTAGCACGGCTACCGCGACAACGTCCACGTCGTTCGTCTCTCGCAATTCGGCCACAAGTGATGCTGCTAGTCATGACCAACTGGCGGACGTGCAAAAGCAGCTGAAGCTGTCGAAGCAGGAAGTCATGCAGCTTCGTTTCCGCAGTAACCAGCTTGAGAGCGTTCACGAGCGTCTAGAAGAGGCGCTCAAAGAGAAGCGCACACTGGAAGTGAAGCTGACAGCACTTGAGGGTCAGCTCTTTGAGCAGCGAAGCCGGACTATCAATTCTGACAACAACAGCTTCATCGCTCCCTCGTTGGATGCCAAGACATCTGTCATGTTGGCAGATATGCAGCGCGAGTTGGACCAAAAGTCGGCCGAGCTCATGATTGCTGAGCAGGAAGTTGAGCACTTGCGCTCCCGATTTGATGAGCGTGGTGGCGAGGGTGGCTCACTTAGCAACATCGACGACGTGGCGCACCAGGTCAAGTGCTTTGAGAGCGAGATTGCGTGTTTGTGTCAGCGCAATGACGAGCAGGCTAGGCGACTGAAAAGGCTCGGGAACCGCGTGACAGTTGCCATCCGCGAGCGCGACGAGCTCGAGGCGATTGTCCAACAAATGGTGGCTGAGATGTCGCTGCTCGGCAAAGACGTGAAGCTGAGTGGGGACACCAGCATCAAGAACCATTCGGCATCGGTCTGTGAGAACGACGGGACTGAAAAGTCGCCGTCGCCAATGTCACGCCTTGCGTCGCCCTCGAATCCGGTGCAGGTTGGCAAAATCACCGACCGTTATGCGAATGCAGTAGCGTCAACCTCGTCTCATCCATCGAGCTCTACTACGCCGACTGTATCTAGTAAGGTGGCACAGCTGATGAAGAACTTTTCGTCTTAGGACAGTGAAGACGACACCGTACATTGCTGTGTTTGTGGTATATGAGCTGGTAACGAGGCTGGACTCTCGCAAGTGTGAAGACAAATTTGTTGGTGTCCTCAATGCGAGAACGATGTGACCTTCGTCTTGCGTTGTTGAGCCGAGGATCGAGCAATGAGCCCTAGCTCCCGTCCGAGGACTTTTAATTATTTGTTGCGATGTGCAGTGGGTGGCAAAGCACTCGACCAGTGCAGTGGAGTCATGTTTTGACAAGTTGCTGACAAGTGCTTGAGTAGCAGACATTGACCCGTCGTACAAAAAAAGCCACTACGTCAAGGTGACTGGCGAGCATTTAACGTCATCATGTGACTCTGTACAAGGGAGAGACTGCTAACATGGAGAATACATACATTGCGGCTACGGTTGCTGGCCACAATTAGGTCGTTGATGAATTACAGATGTGGTTACAAGTTGTGATGAAGCTTTCAACACGCTTGCGGCAGTTCTGGGATTAAAGTTAAAGCAACGTGAGCTTCATGGATTCAAGTTTTGGTTTCACGGTCACGTGCGTGAGAAGGAACGTGTTGCAGAGTTGCAAGTTGATGCATTGGTCGGCATATGGATGAAGGTGGCATCTCGAGTGACCTGTCCGTGAAGTTCAAAGCGTGGCTAACGCTGTCACGTCAATTTGTTGTTGTTCAGTTTGTGACGCGCTGCGGATGTTATTGAGTAGTGAGCGACGCAACGTTTAGGAGTCCACGCTATCTGCGTCTTTGGTGCTACAGTTTGAAGACGTGCAGACGATTCGAAAGACGGACAGTATTGCTGCAGGATGGAGGGAGTGAAGACACTCGAGTTAATGTTGCCGGTGTCGGACAATAGTGCAAAAGTGGTTGTTAGTCAACTGAAGAGGAACCCACTTCCCGGTGAAGTACAGGAGCTGTTGGAGGAGCCCGGATTGAGTAACATTGACGACGCTCATAAGTCCGACAAAGTGTTTCGGCGGTCGTGCGTAAGAATTTCTATTGCTGCTAAACGATGAGCACGTCAAGTTGTAGCGAGTCAGACACTGTAAGCAGCTGACTACGTGATGTCGAGTATGTCAAAAGAGAATTCGTTGCTAACGCTTTGGTCTCCAGGTTAAGCAGAACCCCTGAACTTCGTGTCAGTTTTCGTCAAACAGTAGTAATCGCTCGCTCGACACGTTCGTAGTGATTGCTGGCTCTGGATTTCAACGATGGACAATACTCGTGGTGAACACGGTAATAGTCAAAGGGTAGAAGTAGTAGCAGGTTGTTGTAGTCCAGTGAACGTTCGAGGCCGTATATTTACCGTCACCACATGTATCCACGATCGTCCTCGGCATTTAGTGACAAATGCGCGACTTTGCTGTACCTTTCGACGTAGCAACTCCAACTCGTGTCCAAACAACATGCAAACATCGTCTGGTAGCAAAGTTCTTCGACGTCTGTTTGCTTAGTAGCATCGTCCAAGCACTTGCCCTTCAGTCACGGCGCTACTTACAGCCAAGAAAACAGCAGCAGCAGGAGCAGTAGTAGTGGTAGTAGTAATAGTGCCAATTGATGCTGCTGAAGAGCCTGCCTGCACATGCCTTCTGTCACTTGCTGCTCTATGATCCCACCTTCGTCTTATCCGAGCAAAGACACCAAGGTCGGACAACTGGCATCCGCGCGTGAATCTCTGCTCACTCTGAATTTGTCAATCCCAACATCTCGAAGACAACCAGCACGTGTGCTAGCAAGTCGTCGTTTGTAGTTTTCAGGTTGAGCTTTTCGTCGGTGGTGGTCGAGATGAAAGGAGTGGCGCCATTCCCTGCAGTTCCGGTAACACCGGATCAAGCGCGTTGCTATGAACGCCAAGTCCAACAAGTACTGGACGAGACGCTGTGTGCCTTTGACACGCACGTCGCAGCTCGCGAGAAGGGCACGAATTTACTGCTGAACAAATGGCAGTGGAAACCTCTCAAGACTCTGGACGGGCTCAATAGTTACAAGGAGCGACAACCGACACACCCGGAGCTGACGGACGCTGCAAGTTGTTCGTCCCAGTCTTCCTTTGGGTCCATGTCTGGAATCCCAGCTGTCGAGCAGCTTTCAAAGCCGACGAAAGCAGTCGCAATGGCTGCTTACACCCCTGAAATGGCACCGTCGACCTCATCTGCAGTCATGACAGGCTCCTCATCCATCGCCTCGTTGGCAATCGAGGGACATCTGAAGGGCTCTTTGAGCGACGTCATGTACGGACTCTTGGCAACCGACACGGCCGAGTTGCACCTCCGACATTGCTATATGACGGATCCGGGCGCACTGGACACGACCATGATCGACAGTATTCAAAGACCCAATGCGACTGACCCTTTCCACTTCCGCGGTCTCCAGTGGATCGTCCGGGGTGAGGCTTCTCGGGTCAAGACCAAGGCTCGACGGCCGCGTGATTTCGTGCTGTTAGTCGCTTCGGGGGTCGTGCACCACAAAGTTCCAGGACAAGCACAAAGGCAAGAGATCGGATACGCGCTGTGTCAGTCCATTGAACGACAAGAGTGTGGAGAGCTCGAGACGCGAGGTCTCACACGCGGGTGGCTCTCGACGTGCTCGTTATTCACTGCCGTCGATGGGAGCTCTGCACTCGTCGATGTCTATGCTCGAGGATACGTGGACTTCAGGGGCAAGATGCAAGATTACCAAGCAGCGTCGATGATGAATACGTACATGCTTGCTGGCCTCACAGACGCTGCTGCGTGCGGCCAGAGCAAGAAGCTGAGCTGGTTGCTGACCTACAAAGACGCCGCAACGGCCTTTCGACACCCACAGTCGGAGACCGGGACAACGTCAAGCCGCTGTGCGATTTGTGAACGCAAGTTCGGTGTCTTGAGTAGCGCCATGTCGTGCGATCTGTGCCAGATCAAAATGTGCTCGCGGTGTCGTGTGAGTCGAGTCCTCCGTCTTGTGAAGCGACCCGATGCAGCTTCAGGTACCATTACAAGCACGAGCAAGGGTGGCGACCATCAAGCGAGTGGACGACTGCATAGTCTTCCGGTGAGGCTGTGCAAGAACTGCAAGATGAACGCAAGTCACATGGACGCCCGTGTAATGGCTCGTCGAGAGGTTGAAGCTGGCTGCGATTCCAACGAGACCGCGGACACTGCCTCGGAAGACGATGGCAGCACTCCTGTGCAATCCAGCAGCAGTTTGTTTTCGTGCTCTCAGTCCAGATCGGAGGACAGCTTCTCAGGTGATAGTTCAATGCGGAGCTCAGCTACCGACACCGCCCAGCTCCGAGGACGCCCATCGCATGGTGCAGCTTGTTTGCGTGGAAGCTGCGGTGACAAGCATCTCGATGACGTGGTGAAGACCAAGGTGATGCTCAGCAGGATGGACAGCAGCAAATCAAGCTGCTCGGACTTTGCGTACAACTCGTTCGCCTCGACCCAGCGGGTGTCGGAAGATCAAGACCAAGAAGAGCTTAGCCGCGAGCTGACAACAACGTCCTCCTTCGAACTGCAGCATCAGTCTCTGTACGGCGATGAAGATCCTGAGATGACCTATGCGCACTCACATCAGTCAAGGACCTCCACAGGAAACGCCCATGTCGATTTATTGCGGAGGATGCAGGAGCTGCAGATGAACGCCGAGTCCGTGTATCGGTTCACGAGCAAGATGAACGCGAGCACGCGTTACCGACACGAGCAGGTCGTGTCCAGACACTCTAGTTTGTCCATATCGGAGCTAGATTAACTTAGGGGTGACCGTTACCAATGCAAATTGTTCCTGCGACCTACGATGCCGATTTGTTTTGTCGTGGGAGAAGCTGGGATGGCGTCTAAAGACGATCGCACTGCGGCGTAGATACATAACAAATGTCTTTTACGACTGCAGTTTGCTTCGTTTGGATTGAACAATAGCAGCAACTAGCGCGGAGGACGTCGTTTATTGTGGCGTTATCAGTACGAAGGAACCCGCACATTTACCAGGCAGCGGATACTACTTAGGTGCTTCAGAAGGGCCTCGATATGCTTCGTCACGAGGGTGAGTAGACTACTCGCAAAAAGTCCGTTTTAGGTGCAAAAGTGTGCCCTAGGCGTCAACCGCTTGTCCAATACGCCGCACGACGAGAACAAAATTATGCGAATACCTTCACGTCTTCCACAAAAAATGATCGAAACCACATATTTGCAACGATGCAGTTACTGCGGTGTTTTAAGCAGCGAACGTTGTGTCAGCCAAATAGAACTGGACGCACCTCCAACTTGCGCAGGAGATCGACAGGCGCGTATTTGAGCTCAATGAATAGACGCACTACACCGTCTTGACACGAAAAGATCCGTATCCCGGACTGCATGCTTTGTATTGTCTCCCTACTTGACGAGATAAACACTTATCGTCGATCGGATCGTACGCACTGAAGCCATTATTGTGTGCTGATCGACTTACCTCTTATTGCTTCGTTCACTTCAATACGGACGTTGCAACAGATTTTGTACCATCGGCCTTTTCCGGCTCCTCGACGTGCGGTCATTTCACCGTAACAACCGCATGACTTGCTCACTAGATGTGAGGAGACAAGTGATCCAGTCTTGTCTATTAATGACAATGTTCGTGGTGCTCGACACCGTGGCAACGACACCTCACGAATATGTAGTTGTAGTACGTAGCACAAGTACAATTCAACATCGTGCGATGCTCCGTGTAGGGCTGGTTTCCTCGTTATAATCTCCTAGTACTCCACAACATGGTATCGTCGATTCGATGTGACAGCTTGAAGAGACCCCTACTTATCGAATCCGCTCACAAACCCGTGTCTGCACTGCATTCGAACACATTCGAGAAAGCTAGTAAAGGACGACTTAATAGCCACCCGACTATTCTCGCGGCAAGGAAGGCTTTCGGCTGACGCAAACAAGGCACTACGGCGTGTATCCTCTGGGTTTTGCAGCTCTGGACTAAGTAAGATGGACATAGGAGAGTAGATTAGACGCCATTATAGCAACAATGTCAACAAAATAACGATGAAACTATAACAACCAGGTGCGGCAATTTGTGTGTATTCGCATGTGGACCTATATGTCGCAGGCCATGATCGTGGCAATACCTAAGGCGCGTTATCTACTTTCTATACATCTACCACTTCACCACCCTTCGCTACTTGCTTGCTGACGTAGACCTCTGCCAGCTTTTCTACGATTTCAGCACGTGCAGCCTTCTTTGCTGTTTGTTCAAGTGTCTCCCCTTCAATGCCTTGACCTTTCAAATACGCGATCATGTTTTTCAGCGCGAATCCATTATATTTTTCGTCAAGTATTTTTCTGAGGTGGTCCTCATAGACATTCCTCTTAGAAAGACCGACCCTCTCGAGGAGGCCATTCAGCTTGTCTGACAGCTTTCTTAATAAGCCCGTTTCAACGGACTTGACATCGGCCGCAGCGGACGAAGGATTAGCGACTCGGACTGCGCTGGCTGCCTCTGTAGATGCGAGGAACACGGCGGCCGCCAGTAGTATGACACGACTTGTTTGCATGATCTGCAGTAGTAGCTTCTCGAACGATTCGATGGCGAGTTGTGCTCGGGGGACCAATTGGGAAGTGGGAGACCAGGCCGCCGAAGTCATAGGACATCGTCCGTTGTTCGACGACGCAAGCTCAGTCGGCGTCCGTCGTTGAAGGCTCGAAGTTCTTGTCCGCCGGTCGTAATCAAACAAAGTGTAGCCCGCTCTTTTTCATCGTGCAACGCTTTAAGAACGATCTTGTACGTCACATGCACACGCTTGCACGTCGTCCTTTTTACATGCACGTACAAAATAACGCGAAGAGATACGATACCTCACATCCAGTGATACGCTGCACCTGTAGCATAGCTGATAGTGTGCGCAGTGTACAGAGTGGCGGTCGAGTCCTAGAGCGTATGTGGCAAGGTTTTGCGAAGATGGTCGTACGCTATGGATGAGATTATCGACTGCGTGTGATCATGTGAGAGAGCGAGGAACGGACGGTCCAGTACGCAGACTTACGGGTTACGAGACGTCTGGAATATCTCGAGCCAGGGTAGCAACGCTGGTGCCACGTTGGGTGACGGCTCTCGGCTTTGTCTAGCCATTTTGATTTGGCATCGTAAGCGGATAGGCCCTAAGATGCCCGTGTCAGCACACCAGTACTCTGGCATTACTGTAGCCCGAAGTTGCTGCACGCCATTTTTCAGCGAGTTCCTTGGCGCTGCCTTTGACAGTGCCGTCATCATGCATGAAGGTCACTCGATTGCGTACTCACAAGCTTGTGGCGCAAACACTGCACAGCGCATTCCACCATCGCTCGCAATTGTGGACGCGTCTCTTGTACCTGGTCAGGATGAGCTTGTGCTGGATACTCCGTAATCCCTTGGAAAGCCTCGGTACGTGTCTGCGTGCTCTCTCTGCGAAGAAGCCATACAGGCGTCCCAGTCCCAGCATCTTCCCGTCCAGCCACGCACAGAACGAGCTGCTGGCTGCAACCCACGCGTACGGGCGTGTCTTTGTAAATGTGACACTTACGAATAGACCGGATCTTCGTTTACCACCTACGGCTACGTTGTTTGGTAGACCCGAGCGCACCGACAGCTTAGCATTTGGCAGCTGCCCGGACTAGCTTGAGGCGTGCCCTGACGCGTTTCTGCGGCTGGACATATTAGCAAGGTGTCGTGACGGGGGGCGGCCCGCATTAGCAAATGCTCTGTTACGCCACCTTCATCCGGCATCATGTCGGGATCTGTCAGCAGACGAAAGGACAGGACTTCCTTTATCTGCTTTGTTTTTCTCGGGAGCATCTAGAGGTAATCCAGGTCCCGACGAGTTGGTCCAGTGATTGTCATATTAGACGTGGGTACACATGCGGCAACGATCAGTTGGGTAGCTAGTATGGCTTTCAACTCCGCGTGTGCGACTGAAGCCATGGCTTCATATCGTGGACTCGTCAATGACCTCCGACAAGCTCAGATTTGAGCCTTCGTACCGCTGTATGTCGTCGGGGACAACTAGACGGCACAAAAACCAGCTTCGAGTGTGTCGACCCTCTGTCCAGTCCAGACTTTCAACTCTCTGTCTGGAGGCCCGGGAGTTCGCACATGCTCTTTCCGTTGTTAGTTATGGCCACCACTCCTGCAAGTACAACCTTATGGCCGCCGGTACAGCTACTGCTACAGTTGCAAACGTGGCATGCTTAGGGAGACGCAGTCTACTGACAGAAAATATCACTAGCTCTGTTCGAGCGAACATGGACCACGATATTAACCACTGGTGCGAAGTGTCGCTACCGGCAGAACTAGAGATCCATCTAGGGTCTCCTGGACAGCATGTCCTGCCCTGCATGGCGAACCTCGGGATTATACTCTTACATCAGTGCGACGTAGCCATTAGGTTACCGTCGAACAGATATCGCAAGTTGGCGATCGTACACTGATGTACCTCACCACCCCATTAAAATCTTCGTTTACCGAAGGATCAGCACCAGTCAAAGGTGCAAGAGTCGAGACGTCTCTATCAGTCGAATGTGTTTACGACACTTGCCTCCCAGTATCGACACGGGAAAAGCAAGAAAGCCTCGTAGAGAACGGCCGCACTCTGCATCTGCTGCCCGCGTCTGTCTCCACAGAACACATTTTGGCCACCTATTGCCTGGTCAGCAATGGCCACCTTTCCTAACAACTACATTGACAGACCCGGTTGTAACACCAGAATGTGCGGACTGTCCATTGAAGTGATGTAGGGGATCAGCACATACAAAGAAACAAACGAGGTCCAGATTCTTTTCGTTTGACATCGTACAAGTAAAACCGGGTCTACTGACGGTCGAATCGTCGCAAAAGAATCGACATGAGTTTAATTATTACCGTTACAATCGGGTACTGATTACTTTGGGTTGTCGATAGGATATAGTAGTACGAACATCTGCCTGTTCAGTCGGTGACCTGATTTTGGCATGGAAGCTTTACTCGTTAAAACAGGGGGCACATCTACTTCGATCTCGAAGCGATTAGAAGCCGCCACCCCACAGCAGCAAGCCCCGTATGGCCACCGGACTCGCAAGCGGAATTAGCGTTGGTACCAGGCTTAAGATGCATCAGATGCTCTGTAACATCATAGATTAGATCGATGCGTCGATCTATCCCTGCCCCGTTTTGGCGACGGTCTGGTTTCTTCCCGTCAGAAAGCTGATCAACTGTCCGTATATCAAGATCACGGCCATCAAATGATATAAAGTCTGATTGAAGAAGCGTAATCATTACGCATGATACGCGAAACTTTCCATGATGACGTTCAACATAAGACGGGACAAGCACAGCGTGTAACGGGGTGAATCGTTACATAACAATTTATAAGAAATTGTTAATAGAATATAACTATAAGAGTTATATTCTCAGAATATTGTCATAAGGACAAATATTCTCAGAATATTGTCATAAGGACAAATATTCTGTAGCACTTACAAGTAGTTCCTAATTGGTTGATATAGGCCATTATATCAACCAACGAAGACGCGCCACGACAGACGCACGCAATGAGTGGTGAGCAGATAGTTGATTTGCACCTTTGTATTTAGACATAGTTAGATGAAGATAAATAGTGATTTATTGCAGACATTAACTATTATAAATACAGTTCTACTTTTTACTTTAACCAAGTAATCGCTTCTTCTTACCGTCTTCCTCTGCACGTACGAGTGTACGTGAAGTTACGAGGCACCGCCTTATTCTGTCATCAGAATAAGTAGCTTGTACTGTCACCAGTACAAGCTTCAGGGTGCCCCGTTACACCTGGTAGCACTTCGTAGTCCGTCCAAGGACCGCGTTCACAAATCTAACATGAATATGTTAGATGATGAAGATGACCAAAGCTTTCACGCTACGCGTGACGGCTACTCCCATTTAAGCGATGTCGAGTGGGATGCGGTTGAACGGATGGGTTCAACCATGGGCATCCATGCTGTTAGCGTCATGCTAGAGCCTCTCAATAGAGATGCCCAACATGCTACTATCGCCAAGTTCATTCAACATGAACTTGACGCAGAACGCGAGAAAGTAGCCTTGCTTCACCAACAAGGTTCTCAACAAGCAGAGTTGTTGAGACAGCAGCAGGCTGCTGCTAGTGGGTCGATGCACTCGTGTCGACCCGAAACCTTGAAGATTGACATCTCCAAGTATAGGGGAGTCGAAGAGGACTCCCTCTTGAGATGGTTCGTCGAATCGTATGACGCCATAAGGGCGCGTCGCATCGATGACGGGGATATGCAAGTTGCATTTGCCCAGTCAAATCTGGCAGGACGTGCCAAGACTTGGGCACTGGGGCTCAAGTTGCACGACCTATATGCGTTTGGGTCGTTGGAAGTCTTCAAGTCGCGGCTCAGACAAACGTTTGAACCGCCTAGAGCTGAGTTCAGAGCTCGAACTGAACTCTTGAAGCTCAAGCAAGGTAAGCGTGATGTGCACGCTTACGCGCAACATATACGACATCTCACGAGTTGTATAAGTTCCAACCCGGTTGATGAACACACGTTGGTTTTGGTGTTCATGCAGGGTCTTGCGGATGGTCCCGTCAGGACTCACCTGTTCCGACTTGAACTAGATTCACTAGAACAAGCCATTTCCATTGCGGAACAGGAAGACTTCAGTCTGAGACAGGCTCGCGCCAGCTCGACATCATATCGTCAACCGAGACGATATGACAGCGGAGGTCCAGAGCCGATGGAACTCTGTTATGTAGAGAGCGAGAAGGCTCGCTTTACAGACTACAAGAAGTTGCAGAGATGCAACAGATGTCAAAAGACAGGACACTACGCTTACAAGTGTAGTGCCCCTCGACAAGTGTCTCGCAACACTGGGCGTAGTGACCGTCCACCCATGAGGAAGGGGCAGGGACGCGGGTCCGCAGTTGGTGCAAAGACGCAACAACGGGATGGACCGTCAAAAAACGGACAGGATCAGTAGGTGCGGAGCACCCTACTGGTCTAGCAACGTCAAGAGAATTTGTAGGCCTCTTGATGAAGGTTGCTCCCAACACACAAACGTTGTGCGTTGCTGCTCTAGGGTAATGAGGTCTCACTCATTACCTTGAAACTCGAAGTGACGAATAAGTTGTCCCTTCGAGCTCTAGTCGATTGTGGGGCGTCCAACAATTTTGTGCGACGCCAATCGCTAGAAGATGGTCAATTTAAGTTTAGTGAATGTGACATACCTCCTACGAGGATGACGGTACGTCTTGCGACAGGCGCATCCGTAACCGTCATGAAGCGTATAGTGAAGATCCACTATACGCTAGAAGATACCCAATATGATGATGACTTTATCGTGTTGGATTTGGATGACAAATTTGATGTCATCCTTGGAATACCGTGGCTCAGAAGGTACGAACCACGAGTAAACTGGCAACATCGAACAGTAACGATGCCTGCCGCTTGTTCATCAGATGGCCATCTGATGAACGTTTTGGAGCGTCCACAAGCGTGTGGATGTACTACGAGTGAGTGCGATGGCCTCACTTGTGGTACGGTCGTTAGTACGACTGCACAAAACCTTAGTGTAACAAACGGTTACACTTCGGAGCAAAGTTCCGGCGGCTGTGAGGAAACACAGGCTGCGCCGAAGGTCCACCACTCGAATAAGTCGGGTGGACTGGGACAAAGATGTATCCCCAGCGGGGAACATCTAGAAGAGAAACAATCGATCGCTCAGGTTAAGCGAAACGATAATCCTAGATCGACTGGAGAGTCTTTCGTAGAGGATCTCGCTGTGGTTGCGCAACCCCAGCTAGAGGAAGTAAAGGGAATAAGTCCCAAGATTACAAATACGGCGGAAATAAGTTCCCCGAAACCCGCGGGAATAAGTCCCCGGGAAGACGAAGGAATAAGTCCTTCGAAGCCTGAGGGAATAAGTCCCCAGGAAATGACAGAGACATTGAATGTCATAGTCAATGATGGATCAAGTGTAGGCGCTTATACACTTGATCTGATTGCGCCTCCGAAGTTAACTTCGGAGATCACTCAGTTGCCAACGCTCGAACATAAAAGATTCTTGCGTGATCTGCGTAATGGCAAAGTCAAGCAGATCTGCATACTCGTCGCTGACGACGAGTGTGTAACCGACATAAGGTCAGCAACAGTGTTTACTGAGAACGAGAGAGTTCTCAGTAGTTCATCGATGAACGAGAGTGTCCTAGATGAAAAGACACGAATTGAGCGATATGACTCCCAATCGTGGGAATCGCTCAAGAAAAATCCTCTCTATGAAGATTTGGTTGAATTCAAGGATGTATTCCCTGAAACTGTTCCGTGCGAATTACCGAAGGATAAAAGTATTCGACACGAGGTCGAGCTTAAACCAGGCTCGAAGTACTGTGTCATGAAGCAGTGGCCACTGCCTCGTGAACAAGTACTTGCGATCGACAAGTTCTTTGCCGATCGTTTAGCTGCGGGCCATGTGAGGGAATCAACTTCCCCACATAGCTCTCCGACCTTCTGTGTGCGAAAAGCAACAGGAGGGTGGCGGATACTGCATGCATTTAACAAGTTGAACGCTGCAACGGTACCGGCTCAGACGCCGATACCGAGGAAGGACGTAATCATAGATGGTATTTCAAAGAGTACCATCTTTTCGTCCATGGATTTGATGGATGGCTTCTAACAAATCCTTATGCGAGAACGGGATATACCCTATACCGCAGTTAGCACGCCCAGCGGCATGCTCTGGGAATGGCTAGTAATGCCATAAGGGCTTAGTAATGCCCCTGCCACGTTCAACAGATGTGTATCACATCTGTTGAGACCAGTACGAGAATTCGCGCCGAGTTATTTCGATGACGTATTCATCCATAGTCGAGCTATGGATGGAAAGTCGGACGTTGAGGTTCACAGGTACCACGTCCGACAAGTTCTTACAATCATGCGAAAGCATCAATTGTATGCAAACCTCAAGAAGTGTATATTTGCAGCAAGCGAAATACCACTTCTTGGGTGCATCGTTGGTAAGAACGGTGTACATCCTGATCCCGAAAAGATCAAGGCGATCACCGACTGGCCTGTGCCGGTCGATGTCAAAGGTCTTCGAAAATTCCTTGGGCTAGCGGCGTATTTGCATAAGTATTCACGCAATTACGCCGAGATGACTGTACACCTCTCTCGTTTGTTGAAAAAGAACGAGAGGTGGTTATGGAACGCTGAATGTCAACGCTCCTTTGAGGGTATCAAGCAGAGCTTGATACAATCCCCAGTCCTAGCAATAGCCGATCAGGACAGGCCATTTCATGTGGTCTGTGATGCCAGCGATTTCGCAATCGGCTGTGCATTAATGCAGTACGATCTTGAAGGCGTTGAACGCGTCGTCTGCTATCAGTCGCGTCAGCTGCAACCAGCTGAGCGGAATTATCCAGTGCATGACAAGGAACTACTTGCCATGAAGTACGAACTCGCGAAGTTCAGAGTCTATCTATTAGAGGATAGACCCTTCATTGTTTACACTGACCATGCGTCATTACGCACGGCAGTGAACAGCCCGCACCTTTCACAACGAATGGCGCGGTGGTTGTCATTCTTTGCAGAATACAACTTTACGGTCGAGTACAAACCAGGACGACTTAATGTCGTCGCTGATGCACTCTCACGTCGTCCCGACTTTGAAACAGTCGTGAAACCCAACAGTGAGACAGTCACTGATGCGGTTATGACGTCCTCAGTGCCATCTACAACGTTGTATGATGATGTGAGGCGGGCATACGCCCAAGAGGGTGAGATTTTGAAGTTGTTGACACATCTCTCCCAACCATCCCGAGAATCGTTGAAACGATTGTCGCCTGCGTATCGATCTGCATCAGATCGATACACTACCCGTAACGGGTTACTGTATTATACAGCCGTTTCTGGTGACACACCACGTGTTGTCATTCCAGATGATACTGACCTGCGTTTGCGGATCATGTTCGAGTATCACGATGCTCCTAGAGGAGGACATCGTGGCCGAGAGAAAACATATCTCACGGTAAGTCGAGACTTTTACTGGCCCCGCCAGTATCGGTTTGTGCGAAAGTATGTTCGCGCATGCGAAGTCTGCCAACGAGTGAAGTCAAGTCCTTCACTGCGTGCACCTTTACAGCCTCTACCGGTTCCGGCTGAGTGCTGGGAATCCATCTCAATGGATTTTGTCTTCGGGTTACCCAAAGACGCACGCGGGAATACGGGTATTCTCGTATTTGTTGACAGATTCAGCAAAATGGTACACCTTGTGGCTGTACCAGAGACAATCACGGCAAGTGGCTGTGCTTGTGTCTTTATCGACACCATCTTCCGACTTCATGGGTTGCCCCGTGCACTCGTATCAGACAGAGATCCACGATTCACTGCTGATTTCTGGCGTTCCGTGTTCAAATCACTCGGAACGCGCTTGAAGATGTCGACACGGTTGACACGTTCCGTCTGACCATCTGACTTTGATCATCCAGAGTCAGATGGTCAGACAGAGCGAGCCAATCGTGTCCTCGATGAGATACTTCGAGGATACGTACACTTCTTTAAGATTTGGAGTGAGTTCTTGCCACTGGCAGAGTTTGCCATTAACAACTCGGTGCATGCGTCCACGACACATACACCGTTTACGTGAATGGCTTACGCCATCCACGTGTACCCACCTTACTAGAGTGTAACTCTGGTTTGAGGGGGGGAGGGACTCGCGCGAGCAAAAACCGATTTGGTTCACGCTCATCACGCTCTGACGAAGAGGTCATTGCGTTTGATGCCGATATCGATAACATCGATATAGAAGAAAATGATGCCAGTGAGAGTGCGGAAGCCCTCACTGAAGAAAAGGTTGATGTTGCTGCAGTGCGCTCACAGCGCACTGAAGCTAACGAGTCATCAGATGAGTTCATACTGGCTCCTGAAACGGTAGTCCGTTTTGTGCAAGACTCCATCGCCGAAGCGGTGGATAAGCAAAAGCAAAACGCTGACAAGAATGGAAGGGCAAACACTCTTTTATTTAATAAAGGTGACTTAGTCCTACTGTCTACGGTTAATCTACCAAAGCATGTAGTGACTAACTTGGGTAGTAGTAAAGTTCTACCCAAGTACATTGGCCCATTCTGTCTATTGCACCGCCTAGGCAATGCATACACGATCGAGTTGCCACGTAAGATGCGAACGCATCCCACGTTTTACGTTGGTCGGCTTAAGCCGTACCATCAGTACGCTGCTTCTTCCGATGAAGAACGCCCTTGCGCTCAAGCATCTCGCAGAAAGCCTTGTGCTCCCGATGGTGGGCATCAACAAGGGTCTGGAGAGCAGTTATCTCAGCCCGCGACCGGTCAATATCCACACGAGCTACCCTTAGCTCGTCACGCAGATATGTCAAAGCTCTCTCGTTCTCAAGCTGAGCAAAGGCAAACTCAGCTCGAAGCTTCAAGACAGTGTCCGCCTGTTGAAGACGCCTGTCCCGCTCAGGCTCGAGGTCGCCGCGCAACGATAGAGTTACGCGATCAAAGACGCTCTCGGGAACACACTCTCCCCCACGATAGTTTGGACAGTGTCTTCCCTCCTCCTCCACCTCCATTAGAGGACTCTCGCGGTGGCCAGCGCTATCTGGTTGAGCGGCTGTAGAACCACCACGATGTAAACGGACGTCGGACGAGTTACCTCGTCCGGTGGCGCGGTTATCCCCCGTCCTGGAATACTTGGGACCCCCGCTCCCAACTGATGATCGAAGTACTGGTTCTGGTTGAGCAGTACGACACGGCACATCCTGTGCCGCAGAAGGACAGCCGGAGAAAGTCTTCCCGGCACGGTCGTAAAGGGATTTCAGGTTGTCAATCCCTTCGTACTTCTCAGTAGAGATACGTACGCGCCACCACGGGCTAGTAAGGAGGTAAGCCTCCTTAGGTGCTCGTGCAGAGTTTTTCACACAACATGGGCACAAGTCTCGCCAGGAGAGCCTTAGACAGACGATTCAGCTTGTAGCGTGCACCTGTCGGGGTTCGCTTTTCAAACTTATCACGAGCTTTGATAAGTTTGTCGTTCCAAACGTCACGACCTACATCCTCAAGGTTATGGATGTAGGCGTTCCACGCTTGAAGCAGTGAGGGACCATCACGTTTGTGATTCCCACTGTACCATCGATGTCTAAAGAAAGCATCGATGAAGAACTCATTCTCAGTGTGATAATCTTTCGCACTGGGGTCAAGGTGATGGATGCTTGACGAATTGAACAATCGTGTTCAATAGAGATCACTTGTCGTCGCCGACAAGCGATCCATGACTGACTTTGGAGGCAGCCATGCCTTTTTTTCGGGAGCGAGACGCAACACGTTGCGGTCCCGCTCTTCTTGCGATGTGCCGACAGAAGTGCTAGCACCTCGCTGCGAAGTGGTGTCCATAGGAGAACCGATACCACTCTGAGCGTCCGAGTCCTGCGATCTCGAGCGTCTTCGCTTTGGCGATGGTTTGGTATATCTGATTCGTCAAATGAACCAAAGATGCTACGACGCGTAGCATCATCCATACCACGCTTGGCAGGCGGCTTGGTTTCAACCGCCTTCGTTACAGATCCGTCTTCCGTATCAGGAGAGTATGAGACACCGAGCTCATACTCTGTGAAGACATGATTGTCTTCATGACGAGCACCTGCATCACCAGGTGATACAGGCTGAGACGCTTAAGCAACCAATGCTACATCTGTTGCAGCGGTTTCTTCTTCGGCGTCCGCACAGAGACTTGCAGACGCGCTCTCAGCGGCCTTGTTCGCGCACCACATAAACTTGTTAGCCTTGCGATTAAACTGATGGACTGTGGACTCGGACTAACGAGTGCAAACACTGTCCCAAATGATTTGGGACGACTATCCATTTAGTCAATCAGTCACTAAAGTGACTGATGGTTAAGGGGGGGGGTGATGTAACGGGGTGAATCGTTACATAACAATTTATAAGAAATTGTTAATAGAATACAACTATAAGAGTTACATTCTCAGGATGTTGTCATAAGGACAGATTTTCTGCAGCACTTCCAAGTAGTTCCTAATTGGTTGATATAGGCCATTATGTCAACCAACGAAGACGCGCCACGACAGACGAACGCAATGAGTGGTGAGCAGATAGTTGATATACACCTTTGTATTTAGACATAGTTAGATGAGGATAAACAGTGGTTTATTAGCAGACATTAACTATTATAAATACAGTTCTACTTTTTACTTTAACCAAGTACTCGCTTCTCCTTACCGTCTTCCTCTGCATGTACCAGTGTACGTGAAGTTACGAGGCACCGCCTTATTCTGTCATCAGAATAAGTAGCTTGTACTGATGACAGTACAAGCTTGAGGGTGCCCCGTTACACATTGTATTTTGTCTACAGGCAACAAAAGTACCGCGTAGACATCTACCCTTATATACTTAAGAGCAAAGTGCCCAGTTATTAGTGTCGGTGCGCTAGGTAAATCCTCACTTTTCAGGCCTACTTTCTGTATGTGTATCTGTGTGCGGGCACGTCTACTTTATGTCTGTCTGTTTATCTAGACAACACACAACATAGACTCACGTATGTTTCCTGAATTAGGCATTCACCTTACGCACATTCTGTCTGTTGTAACGCTAGGTTAAACTTACACGTTGTACTAAATATGATGTAGCCTTAATTCTCCTTACAGTTGAATATACTGTATATCCATCACATGTTTCACTGTTTGAGAAGGTCACTATTGCTACCGCGTAGAGAGTGTAAGTCATACACAATCACCAATGCGAGCAAGTGATTGGACTAAGCGTTAGTAGGGGTGGTTAACAAAGGGCAAATCCTCAATGAGTCGATTCTTGGGGCAGCGAAAATCTCGCATCTCCAGCAAAAGTATATCTAGTAGATTTCATCAGTAGCACTTATTAAAGAAGAGGGATTGGTCATCGCTTTATCTCGGCGGCAGAGAGAGCTTCCCAACTACGTTTCTCCTTTCATTATTTTATTAGACGTCGTCGGCTAAAGCGGAGCTACACAGCTCCTTAAGTCAGAAGAAGACTTAACGCTCAAAGAGCAACTTAGCTCTAACGAACTAGACTTAATGAGTCAACAAGCGTAAGCTTATTGCAACGGAGCACCCCTTAGTTTGGGGTATCGCGATGTTGGAAAGGGAGAGTGTCTGTACGCACTGCGTCGTTGCATAACGGGTGACAGACGATGTGTAACAGGGCACCTTTTGTCAGGGTGCCACAAGAAATTTACCTACACTATTAAGTGGAGAGGAAGCTAATCTACTTGAACGACTCGCTCAAGTAAAGGTAAAAAGAGAACTGCATTTAATATAGTTAAGCTACCAATTTAACTTTAATCTTTATCTAATTATACTAAACTACGTCGTCGTATGACGACAACCTGCTCACCACTCATTGCGCGCGTCTAGCAGCGATTGGTCATAATCTATGGTTGACATGTCTTGTATCAACAAATCTTGGAGCAGCGCATGAATATAATCATAAAAGGATAATATTTCTTCGATATAATATATATCTTGGTTAATTTTGGTAGAATATTGTCATGCTAGACAATCTCCCTATTGACACCGTTTGGTGTCAATTCCATGTAAAGGGCTACCCCGTTACATCGCCCCCCCCTAAACCATCAATTACCCGTTAACTACTATAGAAATGATTGAAACAGAATGACCCCCGTTGGACCACTCTAAGAAAGGGAGCACTTGTTGGTCAAATCCCATTCATTTGCCAGTCCAACGCATGGTTTCCAAAACCAAGCGAGCTGCTACTGCAGCAGCAAGAAGAGCGGCTGCACGCATGCGTGCAGCCGCGGATAGTGCATCCACACCTCAGCAGTAGGTGATTCGTCGCCTGTTGTTGCGAATCGTCTACGTGGTGAGTCACCACGTGCGACAGGTACATCCGTTGCGTCTGCAGCGGGTACCACGAGACGTTATCAAGATGATTCTGAGACAGAGCTCATTTATTCTGTCGAGTCGGATGACGCATCCGACTCAAAGGCGACACTCACGCCTCCGGATGACCCGGGGCGGACACTGAAAGAGCCAGGTTGATTGGCTCAGGTCAACGTGGCAGTATCATGTCTGAGATTTGGATCGAATGATTATTCCGACGAATCGTCGCCTCATGCAAGTCTATCCAACGATAGGATGCGTGGGGATGGTGGTGATGCACCTATAAATCACAACGAGCGAAGTAACTCGAGAGATCGAGCTGTCACTGGTGTCAGTGCTCATGCTGGCACCAATCAAGAGGCCAGGACCGAAATGTCCTGCGACATGCTCCTTAAGTGGAGTCGTTATGGATGCCGTCATCCAGAGAGTTGGACCGGTTGGCCGGTATGACTACTGAACGGGATCGAATCCCGTTGTTCGATTGTAGGAAGATCTGCCCTCCTGATTACAGCACGGAAACTTTCCGTGCTGAGGAAGAGTTCTTCACAGATTTATTTTTTAAGCATCGGTGTTACAATGGAAACCGTTGTCGAGACGGTATGGCCTTGGTGCAAGAATGGAATGCCTTCATCCATAACATCGAGTGTATTGGCCGTGAGGCTTGGCTTGCCAAATCTGATGTAGCTCGCATCAGGTTTGAGAAACGCAACCCCGTCGGGGCGCGATACAAGTTGCATCGACTGTCAAGAGAGGTCGGAGTACCCTGTCTCTCGTGAAGTAATTCGTGTCCAGGTTTCCTGGACAACCCGAACCGTGCCCTGAGGAGGCCTACCTCCCCAATGTTCCCTACTAGAGGGCACGAATCTCTTCGGAGATGGCCAAGATGATTGACACCTTGCAATCCCTGTACTCGCGTTCGGGGAGGTCATTTCCCGACGGCCCTTCTTCGAATCCATTGGGTGGGTCTCGTCGTACTGCTCGAAGAGACCAAGGACCTCAACAATCAGCTGGGCACGAGGCTCTTAGCTCTCCTAGGCCGGGGGATAGCCACGCCAGCGGACGATGTAACTCGTTTCGGACGCGATTCGCATCGCGGTGGTTACAACTACGCTCCACTAGGAAACGTTGCCACCGCTTGAGTCCACCAAAGATTGTGGTGGCGGTGAGAACGCCTGATCCGGCTCGAGGGTCGGATCTGCTTGATGTTCAGAAACTGAACCGTGTAACGGAACAGTTTCAAGATGACCTGGCTCGTGAACGGACTTGGCGTTGTGAGCTTCGGGATCCTGTAAGGGGTAATTATTATTCCCTAACGCACGATCGTTCGGACGATCGTGCCGCGTTTGCGTTTGCATAACTTAAGAACGAACGTTCGACTCGTTTTCTTCGTGACGAGCTGGCTGCAGCTCGTCAGAACATCGCTGAGCTGCGTGAACAGGTCGCTTCGCTAGTAGACCAGACTGGCTCGTTTAAACGGGACCACTCGAAGGTGGTCTCGGATCTCCCGCGGAGGTGTTCTTCGCATATTCAAACGGGCTCGTACTGATAGTACGGGCGGATACGACCGGCGTAAATCGTAGGATGCGTACGCATCTCACGGGACAGTTCAATCGTGTGTGCATTGCCCATTAAGTGCAACACACGAAATGGACCGATGTACTTGGGCAGTAATTTACTGCTGCCCATGTTTGTCACTAAGTGTTTTGGCTGATTTACTGTAGACAGTAAAACTAAATCTCCTTCGTTAAATGAAAGAACGTTTGGTCTTCCATGTTTGTCTGCTGGGACCGGGAGGTACCTGGATCGATACCCGGTGGGGGTTCGATTACAGGGCGCCGGAGATAGGCTAATAATGTAGACGAGCAACCACCTATGAGTGGCCGGTGCCGTCCGGAGGCCCTACAAGCCAAAAAGCCCCAAAGTGTAATGAGGGGTGCGGGTCCTGTAAGGAGTTCAAATTGAGTCAGAGTACTCGCAGTTCACCCCAGGGTGATCTGAAGGACCGCGCGGCATAAATCTCTTCCATGTTTGTCTGCGCTTCTTTCCTACTTGTCTATTGCGTCTGAAATATGATCTTGAATGAAGCGTACAACCGCTTCGTGAGTCAGCAGAAATTCCACTGCTGTTTCATCCTTGTCAACAGCAGTGCACTTCTTGTGCACGCTGAAAGAACTTTGTCTTCACTAGTGAGGGCGTCACCGTCCTTACTGTGGCAGTCGTTGGCGATAATGAATATACCAGCATCGTCGTCATCATCATCATCGATGCGTAAACGAGTGGACGTACCCTCGAAGTATCTCTTCGAGAACGCGGTTGACGCGTTCCGTCTGACCATCTGTTTCGGGATGGTCAGAAGTTGACATCGTCAAACTTGTGCCAAGTGAACGGAACACGGATTGCCAGAACTCCGCTGTGAAGCGGGGGTCCCTATCGGACACGAGTTCATGGGGTAAACCGTGCATTTGGAAGATATTATCGATGAAGGCACGAGCACAGCCCTGGGCTGTGATTGACTCCGGTACTGCAGCAAGATGGTACATCTTGCTGAACCGACCAAAAAACACAAGAATACCAGTATTCTTGTGAGCTTCCTTGGGAAACCCGAAGACGAAGTCCATCGATACGGACTACCAGCACTCAGACGGAATCGGTAGAGGCTGAAAGGCTGCACGGGATGAAGAAATAGGCTTCACCCGTTGACAAACTTTGCAAGCGCGAATGTATGAATGTGCGCACAAACTCATTCTGGCGGGGCCAAAAGAAGTCACGACTCACCGTGAGGTAAGTCTTGTCTCTACCGCGATGCCCACTTGGTGGGAAATCGTGACACTCACACATGATGCGCAATCGCAAATCATCATGAGCCGGAACGACGACACGAGGTGTGTCGCCGTTGACTGCTGTATAGTGCAGCAGTCCATCACGAACAGAATACCGTTCGGTCGAAGAGTGATATTGAGACGTCAAGCTTTTCAAAGCTCTACTACGTAGATTAGACACGCAATCTATCACTCGCAGAATAGGCTCAACTTCTGCGTATTATTTTCGCACATCGTCGAGCAGATTCGACGACGGAACATTCACTGTTAGTGTCGCGACGGTGGGATCACCCCGACTGCTGGGTTGAGCAGTCGGCTCGAAATCGGGCCGACGCGAAAGAGTATCAGCGACGACATTCAGTCGTCCTGGTTTACGCTCGACGGAGAAGTTGTGCTTCGCGAAGAAATCCAGCCACCTCGCCAGTCGTTGCAAGAGGTGTGGACTGTTTAAGGCCGTGCGTAACGACGCATGGTCGGTATGAACGATGAGGGGACTATCTCCTAAGCGATATACTCGAAACTTGGCCAGTGCATATTTCATGGCAAGGAGTTCCTTGTCATGCACCGGGTAATTACGCTCAGCTGCTTGCAGCTGACGCGAATGATAATAGACGACGCGCTCAACGCCGTCTGAGTCGTACTGAATCAACGCGCAGCCGATCGTAAAATCGCTGGTGTCACAGATCACATGGAATGGTCTGTCTTGGTCTGCAATCGCCAACACAGGCGATTGTGCCAAGCTTTTCTTGATACCTTTAAAGTAGTGATGACACTCAGCACTCCATGACCACCTCTCATTTTCTTTAGTAGACGAGAGAGATGTACGGTCATATCGGCATAGTTGCGCGAGTACTTGTGCAAGTACGCCGCCAAGCCAAAGCCTATCCGAAGTCCCTTGACGTCACTGGCACAGGCCAGTCGCTAATCGCATTGATCTTTCCGGATCAGGGCGTACACCGTTTTTTCCCACGATGTAGCCAAGAAGTGGTATTTCGTTCGCTACGAAGATACACTTCTTGAGGCTCGCAAACAACTTATGCTCTCGCATTAGCGTAAGAACCTTCCGGACGTGGATTCTATGAACCTCCACTTCCGTCTTTACATCCATATCCCGGATATGAACGAAGACATCTTCGAAGTAACTCGGTGCGAAGTCCCGCACCGATCGCAATAGATTCGTAACACATCTGTTGAACGTTGCAGGGGCGTTACTTAGCTCCTGTGGCATCACTAGCCACTCCCAGAGCATACCACTGGGAGTGTCCACTGCTGTGTACCGGATCTCCCGTTCACGCATGAGGATCTGATGATAGGATCTGATAGAATCCATCTATCAGATCCATGGACGAAAAGGTGGTACTCTTTGCCAAAGTATCTGTGATGATGTCCTTCCTTGGGATCGGCGTTTGAGCCGGTACCGTTGCAGCGTTCAGTTTGTTGAACGCGTGCACTATCCGCCACCCTCATGTGTCCTTTCGCGCACAGAAGGTCGGAGAGCTGTGTGGGGATGTTGATTCCCTCAGATGGCCAGCCGCTAAACAATCGGCAAAGAATTTGTCGATCGCTGTGACCTGTTCACGAGGCAGTGGTCACTAGTTAATGACATAATATTTCGAACCAGGTTTCATTTCGATCTCATGCCGAGTGCCTTTGTCCTTGAGCAGCTCGCATAACACGGATTCGGGAAACACCCCTGAATTCAACCAAATCGTTATACGAAGGATTTATCTCCAAAGACTCCCAAGATTGAGACGTGTACCGCTCAATCCGAGTTTTCTCATCGAGGACACTCTCGTCCATCGATGAGCTACTGAGAACCCGTTAGTTCTCAGCAAACACTTGTGCCGACCGAATATCGGCGACGTACTCGTCCTCTGTGACGAGTACGCATATCTGCTTGATCTTGTCACTACACATATCTCGCAAGAATCTTCTAGAATTCTAGCGTTGGCAACTTGATTACTTCCGAAGCTGACTTCGGAGGTGTAACCAGATCAAGCGCATAAGCGCCTACACTTGATCCGTCATTCACCAAGACATTCACTGTCTCGGTGATTCTCTGGGAAAACACATTCGCAGGTGGTTGGGATACACCTTCAACATAATTCTTTAGGGAGTTATTGCTCTCAGGAACGCCGGAACTTTCTTCCGATACGGGTACTATCACGGTATTGCTCTCAGGAACGCCGGAACTTTCTTCCGATACGGGTACTATCACGGTCACGTCCTCTTCGATCGACTCTCTTTCAGTCGAGCGGGCTTGCTCGACGATCGACTCTCTGATAGTCGATCTCGCTTCAACGTGTTGTCCATACTGAACAACACTGGTCTCTCTTCTCGGATGCAACCTTCTTGGTGTGCATTCGTGTTCCAGTCCACTCTGTCTTTTCGAGTGGTGAACCTTCGGCGCAGCCTGTGTCTCTACACAGGTGCCGGAAGCTGGTTCCACAGTGTAGTGGCCTTCTACACTGTGAGCTTGTGCAATCGTACTAACGTCCGTACCACAAGTGAGGCCATCGCACTCACTCGTAGTACATCCACACGCTTGTGGACGCTCCAAGACGCTCATCAGATGGAGACCCGATGAACAAACGGCAGGCATCTTCACGGATCGATGCTGCCAGTCAACCCATGGCCGGTACTTTTTAAGCCATGGCAGACCAAGGATGCCATCAAATTTGTCATCCAAATCTGACACGATAGAGTCATCATCGTACTGTTTTCCTTCTAGCGTGTAGTGGATTCCAACTTCACGTTTGTTCACTGTCTCGGATGCGCCTGTAGCAAGGCACACCGTCATTCTCGTTAAAGGGAACTCTCGCTCAACATAGTTGAGACTAATATCCCTTAGCTACTGGCGTCGGATGAAACTGTTCGACGCACCACGGTCAATTAGGGAGCAAAGTGACATTCCACTTGTCACTTCTATCTTCAAAGTGATGAGAGACTCCTCATCACTAAGGGCAGTAACACACAGAGACTGCATGTTGGGAGCAATCTACGTCAAGATTCCTGCAAATTCTCTTGACGTTGCTGGATCAGCAGGGTGCTCCGCCCCTACTGACCCTGACCGTTTTTTTGACGGTCCGATTTACTGTCGCGGCTTGGCGACATGGTCGGACCCACGCCTCGGACCCTTCCTTGGCCAACGGCGGTCATCACGTCCTGTCTTTGGACGTGATGCGGTGCTTGAGAGACTGCACTCATGAGCGTAGTGTCCAATCTTCTGACAGCGATGGCATCTTGCCGGTCGCTCGTGACTCAGAGAGCCATAGTTCTCGCTTTCGACATGACAGAGGTCCATAAGTTCGGGATCTCCTTTTTTTGTCGTCGCGTCGGACGATAGTTTGACGAGTTAGCCTGAGACTTCTCAGGCTGAAGTCTTCTTGTTCCACCTACGCTATCGCCTTTTCCAGCGTATGGAAGTCCTCTCGGAACATATAGGTCTTCACCGGCCCATCTAAAAGGCCGTAGATGAACACGTTGATGATCGTGTGCTCATCAACAGGGTTCTCCGTAGCGCTACTTGCAAGGTAGCGCAGGTGCTGTGCGTAAGCGTGCACGTCACTCTTACCTTGCTTTAGCCTCAAGAGTGCAGAGCGTGCTCTGTACTCGGCTCTCGGCGGATCAAAAAACGTCTCTTTGAGCCGATACTTCAAGATATCCAATGACCCAAACACGTTTGGGTCGTGAAGCTTGAGCCCTAAGGCCCAAGTCTTTGCTCGTCCCGTCAAATTTGACAGGGCGAAGGTGACTTGCATCTCGTCACTCTCGATGAGACGGGCCCTGATGGCGTCGTCTAACTCGACGAACCAACTCAAAAGGGAATCTTCATCGATTCTCTTGTACCTTGAGATATCAATCTTCAAGGTTTTGGGTCGGCGCATGTGCGTTGGCCCACCCATCGACTGATGAGAGTCTTGCTGCTGAATCAAGGCTATCTTCTGTCTTTCGACAGCAAATTCTCCTTGTATAAACTTTTTGATAGCAGCATGCTGCTGACCTCTGCTTTGAGACTCCAACATACCACTGATGGCGGGTTCGCCCATGAGCAAACTCATGCAGCGGACTATCTCCCGTTCTGAGTCTTTCAGATGTTTGTTGGTAGAAGCCTTCACGTGTGACGTGAAAGCTTTCGTCTTCTTCGTCCAACCCGTTCACGTTGGACGGAAACTAAGTATCTGTTGGAAGGACTACGAAGTGCTACCAGGTGCAGCGGGGCACCCTTCTTCCGGGTGCCACGAAACTTCACGTACACTAGTACGTGCAGAGGAAGCCAGTCTATTCAAACAGCTAGTTTGAATAAAAGGTAAAAAGAGAGCCGTATTTAATATAGTTAAGTTATCAATACAACTTCAGTCTTTATCCCTCAATATTACTCCACATTACCGTATGACGACAACCTGCTCACCACTCATTGCGCGCGTCTAGCAGCGATTGGTAAAAATTTATGGTTGATGTGTCTTTTATCAACCAATCTTTAAGCATCGCATGAATACTATCCTAAGAGGATAAATTTTCTACAATGTTTTCCATATCGAATAATATTAGCATCGAATTGTCACGCTAGACAATCTCCCTCTTGACACCGTTTGGTGTCAATATCACGTAACGGGATACCCTGTTACAAGATTCACCTTTGATCGATTTTAAGTCAATAACAAGCGTCCGCCAAAATATTGACATATCCAAGAGTGACTTCGGACATGTCTATATACCTTAGAGGGGGGACGGGCTAGATCGGACTTAGCACGTGTAAGGTGCACGTAGCCGCATCATTTACAGACAGACAAACACAGAGACGATAAATCACGATTTAAATGTTCAGCATTCACGTTGTGCACACTCAACAATAGCTTCACCTTCGATCTTGCAATTATTGCGAGCCCAAAGGCTGTGCGCAAGGTGAACATCAAACTTCTAAATTTGATGTTCACCTTGCGCACAGCCTTTGGGCTCGCAATAATTGCAAGATCGAAGGATGGTACTTTTCAGTGTTTCTATGTGTGTGTCTGTCTGTGAATAAGGCGGTCGGGTGTACCTTACACATTCGGATTCTGACCTAGCCTGTCTCCCCTTATAAATAGATAGACATATTTAAAGTCACTCCATGGCTAGGTCACTATTGTGACCCATGTACGTTATTGGCTTAAAATTGACCAAAGGTGAATGTTATCATGTAAACAAACACCAGACGTTCAATAAAAGCATGATCGCGTTGCATTATTATACTTCTGTATTAATTTAGATATTAACACTGTCAAACTCTTTTTTACATGACTGCTGTTGTAAAAATCGAACTCCAGAGCTTGCTCCCCTAACTTGAATTATTATTTTTTTGGTTCCGAATCATCAGATATACGCTGCTGCTTTTTCGATCAACTATTTCTATTTTTAAATAATAGTTTGCATAACATGAGGTACCGACTGCATACCATTTACACTGTTGCATCTAACAATCTGCTTGCTTTTTAACAGCTCACGTTTTCACCTTAAACTAGAGCGTGCAACCATCGAAAATATGTAATGAGCTTGTGTGATTATATACTTACACCTGCATTTTCCATACATTGTTTAAATGTAGTCAAATAGACCTCTATCGTGCGTTTGTTCATGTTAAAGGGTTACACATAGTTGGGTTCTTGGTACCCTGTGTATTAGACACATGGATGATACCCCACTGTAAGAGATGTAGAATATCTTATCGGTTTATTGGGCCGGACTGATGTCAGCCACCAGATAGAATAGATCTTAATTGTACTAACTTAGGACACAAGTGTCTAGATTAGAATTAATATATCTTATAGGTTTAAAGCTAAATAAAATTCAGTTCCCCTTTTCATCTTAAAGACACGAGCCTTGCGAGGCGTCTTTGGTCGTTTATCGCTGAACACTAAGAGCTAGCAACACCTCCCTGAGGTAGCTAGTGACTCTTGAGCACTAAGTGCTGTTGGTTCACTGAGTCCTTTGGTCCCCTGAACCAAAGACCATAAGCTTTACGCTTGTGTGGTGAAGTCCATCTCACAAAATTGCTTATGTGAAACGCGATCTTCCACTTGCCCGGACTTGCCGACTCAGGGAGGGGGGTACTCCGATCCGCACTATAACCTTGTGCTCACCTTGTGGACCCGTTGATTGGGCTTGCTTGAGCACTTCGTAATGGCCTTGGGAGATGTCGATCTCGCTGGGGGTCCGGGGTTCAGAGTTCGCTACCGGTGTGATGTGGTGTCACAACACGAACTGGTTATGCGATCTTGATCTTGGGTCGCTGCGATCTCATATTCAGAGAGGTAGCAATCTCGATCTCGAATTGCAACAATCTCTATCTTGAATTTGGGATCGGGGCTTTCACTGCGTGGGAATCTTCATTCAGCGAATATTATGAGTCTGCGTCGATCTTGCCTCGAGATCGGTCCGATTTGGTTCCGAGATCGGCCGATTTGGTCAGAAGCGCGCAGTGTGGGCAGATAAGTTTTGAGTTTCGCCAAAACGAATCGTGCCGATCTTCCGTGTGAACCGCGTCGACCTTGCTCGGTCTTGTCTTGAACTCCTTTTTCAGATCTTCTAACCACTTGAGCCTTCTAGCGATCTTGTAACCAAAAGCCTTTACCGTGTTGCTGCTACCCTAGCAGTGAGATGAGTGTGTGCGAACTCAATCGATCGGGGCCAAATTCCCTGATTTCGCTCTTGTCGATCTTGGCCAACAATCCAAGATCGGTCTTCAGAATCCTTGAGCACGCGTACCTTGAGCCGTCGGTAAGCCAAAGGTACCTTACTCGGAAAAGGAGAGGATGCGTGGAGTGTGTGGAAGAAGTAGAGTTCAAGTCTGTTTTAAAATCACCCAAATTAAAATCCAGCCTACCCTTAAGCCTATTCTTAGCTATGGTTCACTCTCCAAACCGATATCATCTTGAACCTGGATCGCCCCCTTCCCGACAATTGTAAACGTCTTCTCTTGCCACGTGTCGAAATTTCGTGCCCTGTACTCCAATGATAGCGCCAGTATTCCTGATATCGTACCTAGAGCAACAAAACGTATCCAAATCTCAAATATAGTACCAAATACCCATTCTTGGCGCCAAAGTACCCAATATAGGACCCAAATTGCCGAACATGTCAAAATCCACTTTGTGACGTCAATTCTGACGGCTTCCACTGGCTCTTTCGGTCTGAAAATTCTTGACATCTCTTAGGGACCTCCATCAAGTATATTCCACATGATCCCGTATCTTCATCAACCTTATATCCATGATCAGTGTGGAATATGACCGATCTGTCGTCCAATAAGGAGATGTTGGTGGTCGATCTGGTCTAGATCAGCGATTAACACTTTTTCATCTTCTCGTACGTGCTTCAAATCATCCCCCAGTGTTATTCAATCGATAGCTTCAATCACATATCTCAACAACGGCTCCATTGGCTCCGCTGATACGCAAGACTTCCAGATCGGTGTACTATTAACCAAAATCAGTACTCTTATTGTAAGATCTTTTTTGGGGGGTGATGAGGTGTATTGAAGTACGATCGCCGACTTTAAATATCCGTCCGATAGCAACCTAATGGCTTCGCCGCTTTAACGTAAGAGTCTAATCCCGAGTTCGTCCGTGTAGGGCAGAGGCGTGCTGTTCAGGAGACCAGGTAGGAGGCGCACGACGTGCAAGCGGCACAGGAGACCCTAACTGAATCTCCAATTCTGCTGATAGCGACATTTCGCACCAGTGGTTGATATCGTTGTCCATGCTCACTCGAACAGAGCAAGCGAAAGGCCCAGTATGGAGAGTGCGTCTCCCTAAGGCTTCCACATTTGCAGCCGCAGCAGTAGCTGCACCGGCAGCCATAAGGTTGTGCTCGTGGGAGTAGTGGCTCCAGCTAACCACATAAAGAGCATCTGCGATCTCTTGACCCTCCTGGTAAAGAGTTGAGAGCCTGGGCCGGACTGGTGACCGACGCACTCGAAGCTGGTTTATAACCGCCTTGTTGTCCCCGACGACATACAGCGGTACGAAGGCCCGGACCTTAGCTTGTCGGAGGCCATTGACGAGCCCGTGATATGAAGCCACGGCTTCTGTCGTGCATGCGGAGTTGAGAGCCATACTGGCTACCCAACTGATCGCTGCCGCATGCGTATCCATGTTTATCTTTACAATCACCAACCCGGCTCCGCCTGGCCCTGAATTACCTCGAGATGCTCCCGAGAATAAAAGCAGATAAATGAAGTTTTGGCCCGCGTCTCCCGACAGATTTCGTAATGGTGCTGGAGTAAGGTGGCGAAGCAGAGCATAACGTAAAGCGGATCAAACACTGGTCCTTACCTGGCCCCCCGTCACGACACCTGGCTGGTATTTCGAACCACGGAAACGAGTCCGGGAACGCCTTAAGCTGTTCTGGGCAGCCATCAAATCCTGAGCTGTCGATACTCTCGGGTCCGCCATATGACGTAGCCGCTCGGTCCATATTGTGTGCATAGTCGTCGCGACCGCGAATCTCCATAGTTCTGTTGCAGCTGCAAATAATTCCTCTCGATGATCGATGTTATCCTCAGTGGGTGAAAGAGATTCTCTAGCCGCCTCCCACGCATTGCTCGTGCATTCCGTCAATTCAAGCGCAAATTCAAATGTGATAGTCAGCGTCAGAAAATCACCCGAGATGCCCCCACAGTAGCAATAGGTGCTGCCAATGACTTTGGGCTGCCGCACAGGTTCAAAAGACGTGACTTGAAGGCGCGGGATCTCCAGGGAGACATTCAGGATAAAGGCACGAGCGGTTCCCTGCTGCCCAGTTCCATAGCGGAAAACAGTTGGCTTTCAGGCGGAACAATGTCCGTGTGCGAGAAAGTTGCTCGGATTCTGCGTAGGTCTTTCCAATCTATCAAAGTGGCACCCTGAGCTATGACGAGATGATCGACCGCCGTCATGCGTTTATCTCGTTGTCGTACGCCAATTCCACGCTTCAATTCTGCAACTGGCGCTTTGAAGTCTTTTCGGCAGGGAATACATCTCATTCGACCAATCCATATGAGAACGATACGTGTGAGCGATGGATGCGACGCAAATCGGATCGATAATTCGCTGGCCCAAGTCGCTGCCTGATCGCACTCTAACATAGAGCGCACTGGCGCCGAGCAGCACGACTGGCCATGATCCCAGTGACAAACGGCCATGCCAGTACTATTTAACGTCATGGTGTGGTGTCTAGGGACATCATTCGAGTCCGGGCACAAAATGGCAGCCCATATAGGCCGGTAGAGGAGAGACAGGTAATTGAGAATTAGAGCCTGACAGAATCGTCCAAACTGTCTTTTTTGCCTGGCAGTGTAGTAAGCGATCTGTTGCTAGGTGTAAATTGGACTACACCCATTGTACGTTCACCTAGAGTGGTTTTGTCACGTGCAAAGCTCGCATGGTTTAGCTGGTAGAATCCTCCGCGAGCGTCAAGAAGCCAGGGTAAGGTCCCGAGAGATGCATGCTTCAGCCAATTTGTGTTGCAACGTCCATGTATGGATACCTCCTCCAAAATATCGTCGCGAGTCGAAAGGTCCAACAAAGCCCGGGCATCAACGATGACACCCCCGTCCTCAGCATAAGTGGTCATCACTCTATTTTTCAAAAAGCGCCGCCCGCTTTCTCACGACCGTCACATCGCGCCTTCCCGCGTGTTCCGCAGCGTAGACCGCAACTGCGTTGGCACCGGTCTCCCATAGGGTAGCAGATATGGTTTGCTTTGGTTCCGGACCCCAGTGCGGATAAATGTATAAGAGGGGTGAGTCTTCAGAACCCCATTGTAACGGGGTGAATCGTTACATAACAATTTATAAGAAATTGTTAATAGAATATAACTATAAGAGTTATATTCTCAGAATATTGTCATAAGGACAATATTCTGTAGCACTTCCAAGTAGTTCCTAATTGGTTGATATAGGCCATTATATCAACCAACGAAGACGCGCCACGACAGACGCACACAATGAGTGGTGAGCAGATAACTGATTTACACATTTGTATTTAGACATAGTTAGATGAAGATAAATAGTGATTTATTGCAGACATTAACTATTATAAATACAGTTCTACTTTTACTCTAACCAAGTACTCGCTTCTTCTTACCGTCTTCCTCTGCACGTACGAGTGTACGTGAAGTTACGAGGCACCGCCTTATTCTGTTATCAGAATAAGTAGCTTGTACTGTCACCAGTACAAGCTTCAGGGTGCCCCGTTACACCTGGTAGCACTTCGTAGTCCGTCCAAGGACCGCGTTCACATCCAACATGAATATGTTGGATGATGAAGATGACCAAAGCTTTCACGCTACGCGTGACGGCTACTCCCATTTGAGCGATGTCGAATGGGATGCGGTTGAACGAATGGGTTCGACCATGGGCATCCATGCTGTTAGCGTCATGCTAGAGGCTCTCAATAGAGATGCCCAACATGCTACTATCGCCAAGTTCATTCAAAATGAACTTGACGCAGAACGCGAGAAAGTAGCCTTGCTTCACCAACAAGGTTCTCAACAAGCAGAGTTGTTGAGAGAACAAGGTGCTCAACAGTTTGAACTGTTGAGACAGCAGCAGGCTGCTGCTGGCGGGTCGATGCACTCGCGTCGGCCCGAGACTTTGAAGATTGACATCTCAAAGTATAGGGGGGTCGAAGAAGACTCCCTCTTGAGATGGTTCGTCGAATTGGATGACGCCATAAGGGCGCGTCGCATCGATGACGGGGATATGCAAGTTGCATTTGCCCAGTCAAATCTGGCAGGACGTGCCAAGACTTGGGCACTGGGGCTCAAGTTGCACGACCTATATGCGTTTGGGTCGTTGGAAGTCTTCAAGTCGCGGCTCAGACAAACGTTTGAACCGCCTAGAGCTGAGTTCAGAGCTCGAACTGAACTCTTGAAGCTCAAGCAGGGTAAGCGTGATGTGCACGCTTACGCTCAACATATACGACGTCTCACGAGTTGTATAAGTTCCAATCCGGTGGATGAACACACGTTGGTTTCGGTGTTCATGCAGGGTCTTGCGGATGGTCCCGTCAAGACTCACCTGTTCCGGCTTGAACTAGATTCACTAGAACAAGCCATTTCAATTGCGGAGCAGGAAGACTTCAGTCTGAGACAGGCTCGCGCCAGCTCGACATCATATCGTCAACCGAGACGATATGACAACGGAGGTCCAGAGCCGATGGAACTCTGTTATGTAGAGAGCGAGAAGGCTCACTTTACAGACTACAAGAAGTTGCAGAAATGCAACAGGTGTCATAAGACAGGACACTACGCTTACAAGTGTAGTGCCCCTCGACAAGTGTCTCGCAACACTGGGCGTAGTGACCGTCCACCCATGAGAAAGGGGCAGGGACGCGGGTCCGCTGTTAGTGCAAAGACGCAACAACGGGATGGACCGTCAAAAAACGGACAGGATCAGTAGGTGCGGAGCACCCTACTGATCCAGCAACGTCAAGAGAATTTGTAGGCCTCTTGATGAAGGTTGCTCCCAACACACAAACGTTGTGCGTTGCTGCTCTAGGTAATGAGATCTCACTCATTACCTTGAAACTCGAAGTGACGAATAAGTTGTCCCTTCGAGCTCTAGTCGATTGTGGGACGTCCAACAATTTTGTGCGACGCCAATCGCTAGAAGATGGTCAATTTAAGTTTAGTGAATGTGACACACCTCCTACGAGGATGACGGTACGTCTTGCGACAGGCGCATCCGTAACCGTCATGAAGCGTATAGTGAAGATTCACTATACGCTAGAAGATACCCAATACGACGATGACTTTATCGTGTTGGATTTGGATGACAAATTTGATGTCATCCTTGGAATACCGTGGCTCAGAAGGTACGAACCACGAGTAAACTGGCAACATCGAACAGTAACGATGCCTGCCGCTTGTTCATCAGATGGCCATCTGATGAACGTTTTGGAGAGTCCACAAGCGTGTGGATGTACTACGAGTGAGTGCGATGGCCTCACTTGTGGTACGGTCGTTAGTACGACTGCACAAAACCTTAGTGTAACAAACGGTTACACTTCGGAGCAAAGTTCCGGCGGCTGTGAGGGAAACACAGGCTGCGCCGAAGGTCCACCACTCGAATAAGTCGGGTGGACTGGGACAAAGATGTATCCCTAGAGGGGAACATCTAGAAGAGAAACAATCGATCGCTCAGGTTAAGCGAAACGATAATCCTAGATCGACTGGAGAGTCTTTCGTAGAGGATCTCGCTGTGGTTGCGCAACCACAGCTAGAGGAAGTAAAGGGAATAAGTCCCAAGATTACAAATACGGCGGAAATAAGTTCCCCGAAACCCGCGGGAATGAGTCCCCAGGAAATTACAGAGACATTAAACGTCCTAGTCAATGATGGATCAAGTGTAGGCGCTTATACACTTGATCTGATTGCCCCTCCGAAGTTGACTTCGGAGATCACTCAGTTGCCAACGCTCGAACATAAAAGATTCTTGCGTGATCTGCGTAGTGGCAAAGTCAAGCAGATCTGCGTACTCGTCGCTGACGACGAGTGTGTAACCGACATAAGGTCAGCAACAGTGTTTACTGAGAACGAGAGAGTTCTCAGTAGTTCATCTATGGACGAGAGTGTCCTAGATGAAAAGACACGAATTGAGCGACATGACTCCCAATCATGGGAATCGCTCAAGAAAAATCTTCTCTATGAAGATTTGGTTGAATTCAAGGATGTATTCCCTGAAACTGTTCCGTGCGAATTACCGAAGGATAAAGGTATTCGACACGAAGTCGAGCTTAAACCAGGCTCGAAGTACTGTGTCATGAAGCAGTGGCCACTGCCTCGTGAACAAGTACTTGCGATCGACAAGTTCTTTGCCGATCGTTTAGCAGCGGGCCATGTGAGGGAATCAACTTCCCCACATAGCTCTCCGACCTTCTGTGTGCGAAAAGCAACAGGAGGGTGGCGGATAGTGCACGCGTTTAACAAATTGAACGCTGCAACGGTACCGGCTCAGACGCCGATACCGAGGAAGGACGTAATCATTGATGGTATGTCAAAGAGTACCATCTTTTCGTCCATGGATTTGATGGATGGCTTCTATCAAATCCTAATGCGGGAACGGGATATACCC